CTGTATTCTTTGAGAATGAACCGTCCATAGGAATCCAATCCATAACTTTAACAGGAAAACATAAAGCCTCGTTTGTATAATGTTCTACAAGTTCTGTATAAATGTTAGGGTCTAAAGAGAATGACTTTGGATGAATGAAACATTCATTAAAATCCATCTTTGTTCGAAATAGTTGTGGGTTACAGTTGTAATAGTAACTGTTCCACTAGCTTCTACTGCCTTCGTTATCATAGTGAATGGTTCATTCCATGGAACAAATTTATTTGTCGGTGGATTTGAATCTGAAGCAAATGCAACTTTAAGAGTTGGATTGAAAGCAATGATATCATTTACAGATATAGATGTGCATTGTAAGGCGTCACTACTGAACTTTACTTTAAGCTGAATGTTTCCTGCAAAAGCTGGAATAAATCGAATAGCTTCTAATGGAAGGAATCTTCTAACAGGAATTCTTAAACGAAGCTTAAAATCAAATGATTTTCCTGCTGTAATTGGACCACTAACAATTTGTCCTGTTCTGCATGTTCCCGAATGACTCCATACATCTTCATGTCGAGTCTTTGAGAAAACATCTACTTTCTTTATTTGTTCGGGAGTTTGTGAGTTTGAAGTTATATATGCTTCTTCTCTTGCGTTGTCTTGAAAAAATACAATACGACCATTTGCAAGGATTTGATATCCAGCAACTGCATAGAAAGCGTCATCGAAACCAATCCAAAATCCTGGTGGGTTTGTTTTATTGGAACCTGAACCAATTTCTTTATCTACAATAAATTGACCTTCCATTTTATACGTAATGAATGTATTGTAAAGGTCCAACATATTTTCACCAGGAGGTGAGAGATTGAATGTTACCCATGTGTTATCTTTAGCAGTTCCAGGTTGTGATGGAATCTTTGCGTCAGAATATTTTCTATTAGTGTCACCAATTTGAACTGCATTGTCTATGATATCGAAATATGAGCGAATCTGATGAATATGCTCTGCTGGAGTAAATTCGTTTAACTGTTCGTTCTGCATGTATTTACTTCAGATAAAAATATCTATTTACTTCATTATTCTCACTCTTCTTCTTGGCATTCGTGGTGGAAGTTGTTTCTTGACATTTTCAATGAACTGTACATTCTCTTTTGTCTCAACTTCTTTCACTGGCGGGTCAGGATTCTTTGACTCGGTTTGTTTTTCAATGAAATTCACGAACTTTGCAATAAGCTCTTGGTTCGTTATTGAAAGTACATCTGGCTTCTTTTCTTCTTGTTCTATTGGTGCTCATTTGAACAGAAGGTTTTATATGGGCTTCGCCCTCGGTGCCATGCACCTTAATGTCGCTCTCTGCATTCGCTAATGGAACCTTTCTTTTTCTTACGTATATTTTACCATCTTTACTCTGACTTACGTAATAGAAAGGATGTTGTATTCCTCTTGCGTCATTTAATATAATAGACTCTCGCTCTGATTTTGACAAGCTCATTTTACATCGGTTAAAGTTTTAATTTTGTTTTTTATCTGCAGTCAAATGACTCAGACAAGCCCTACGGACAAGACCCAAGGGGTCATAGATGTTGAAGCATTGAAGAAAGAAATTCGTGAGCAAATTTTATCCGAACTGAAGGAACAAAAACAAGAACAAAAGCCAGAGAGACCAAAGAGAAAACTTAGTGAAAAACAACTTGCTGCATTAGCTGCTGGAAGACAAAAGAACCCACGTTTGCTGGCGAAGAAAGCTAGAGAAGAAGCTGAAGCAAAAGCTAAAGAAGCTGAAGCAAAGAAAGAGTAAATGGTTTATTTTTATTCGAATTAAATGTATAGACAAATACCTTTATCTGTTGCGTTCAGTAGTGAAAATCCTGACGTCAAAATAAAGGGGACAGAGTAACGTTTAAGTTTCCAACAGACTGGATTGTGAACATAAATGAAGAGAAGTACATTGGCAAACAAATATGTATATAACACGTGCTTACAGAAAGGTTGAGTTTATACTTCAAGTCGAGATAGAAAATGACGAACAGTCTTTAAGCGCCCAAAACATTCACATATACAAATACTTTAAAGACGATACAACGTTAGAAGACTGTATAATTACATTTTACGAAAATTTTCAAAAGAAGTTTAACATTGAAGTACAAACTTTACAGCCTTTACGTGAGTTTCTTGCACAACTGAAAGAAGAAGGTAGTCAGCCACAACTTATAGACTTTCATTATGAATTTAATGAAAATGAAGATGGAACACATGACTGTCAGTTTGTTGTATTCTCACCATTCAATGAAGTCGCTAAAGAGAAAAAAATCCATTACGTATAAGATTTCAAATCTCTGAACCAAGTGATGATTTCAAGAATGTTTTCAATTATGATGCAATGCTTCCGAGGAAAAATGAATTTTCAAAGATTGTAACACCTGGCATTTGGGATAGAAAGCAAGCTATATTATATTCAAACTTAAGTAAGGAGTTGAAAATGAGTTCATTGGTCATACAAGAACTTCACCACTTCCTAACCCTAAATACTATAAATTAATTGGCTTTCAATCGTGAGTTTTGGATAGACATGTTCTCCACTCATGACCATAACTGCCCAGTGTTCTTACCTCCAGACCATAAGGACTGTCTCTACATTGAAGCACAACTCTGAAACTCTACCATCGCAGTATTGTAAAATCTACGCTAGTTTTATTTTTTCTGAAAATTTTTATTTGAGTGAAAGGCATGGAAGGTGAAGGACATTGGCAAACACTCGAACATGACAATGACTATGAAATCTTTTCAGAGTACCCATATCCAATTAGGCGCATAAGTAACAAAAGAGTTGTAAGTGAGTTTGACAACGGTGATGGTTATATTGTGTTTATTTAAACAAACATAAACTCTTTAAGCATAAAATTGTTGCAAATCAATTTATACCGAATCCTGAAGGACTTCGAGAAGTAGACCATATAAACAGAGACAGAGGAGACTTTCATATCTCAAACTTAAGGTGGGTGTCGAGAAGACAAAACATGAGAAATATTTCTGGTTCGAATGGCTATGTTTGACATTGTAGACACTCTTCCTGAAGATGCTGTTGAAATTATACAATACTCTAAATTCTCTAGAAAATTACTACTATGTCCCAAGTGAAGATGTTTTTACTATTTCATGGAACTCAATACAGACGAATGAATGTCTTAAGACAGTATAGCAAAGATTATATAAACATTACAGATGTAGAAGGAAGAAGAACAAAGCTGTCTATTGCAAAGTTTAAGAGAGACAATGATTATACATAAATGACAAAAATATATGACCTCATTATTTTTATCACGAATGACCTCATTGCTGACAAAAATAAATGACCTCAGAACTTCAACTTACGAATAAAGCTTGTTTTAGTCGTTATTGAGAAGTTAAACTTTTCAGCAAAGCAAGGACTAGAAGACTTACATAAGTCAAATCCAATCTCTTGACCATCATGAAGTGCTTTGTAAAGTTTCATTAAACTGAACTCAGAGTCTTTGTCATATGTTCCAACAGGTATGTGAAATGTTCTTATCTTCATTGTAAATAGCATTGTATAGCTTCAGGAAACATTTCATTAGCTGTTAAAGCAAGAACGTCTTGTTTTACACCTTTTACAACGTGCATGAAATGCAACTTCATTTAAATCATCGTGAGTAAGTCTATGTAGGTCTTCTTTCCACAAATATTGACTTGTATGCTAAAACTTTGTTTTCCAGGTGTTATTTCTGCGAAGTCAGAATGGAACTGACCTAATGTTTTACCAATAAGTTCTCTACGTATCTCTTCTGAAATTCCTGAGCTAACAGTGGGATGTCTTCATTGAAAAATATGCATGCTATCGCAGTCCTGGTAAAATATTTTGAAGACCCATATCTTCAGCAGTACAGAATACTTCACACATTATTCTCTTCGACATAGACAGAATGTTAACACCAAGTGGACAGAAGTTAAAGTGTCTGCAAATGCTTTTCGTTAGCTTGAAAATAGTTTTTATCTGAAACCATCCAAACCTTCGAACTTCACTATATGGTTGTAGTTTCTGATGGCATATCTTATAGCATCTTTGTCACTTTACTATGGTTATTTTTGACTCAATAGGAGATAGAATAGTTTTGCCATAAATACTGTTCAGAATGAGCTTTATATTTCTTGCAAAGGATTTCCTTCTTTCTTATACTTTAACCTTAACTCAAACAACTTCTTTACTTCATCTCTTATTCTAATATCTCTGTTTCCTCGTAATAGTATCCTTGCAACACTTCACATTTGACACCTTGATATTTTATGAGGTCTTGTAATGTTATATGGTCAACATACATTAAACAGCAGTGTTTGAACTTCTGGGAACGTTAAGTTCTGGATTTAGTTCAGGGTCACAAACTATTAAAGGAAAGTGTCTATGTATTCCAATCTCTGTTATCTTAATGAGAACAAAGAAGCCAGACATAAACTTTTCACCAATGGGTTCCTTTTGGTCGTCATCGAATAAATGTCTCATGAGATACTCTGTGCTTAACATTTCTTTCTTCATAACCTTTGGAATACCTTCTAAAGTATAAAGTCTTGCTATAGCTGATGGATATAATGAAACAGCGTCGAAGTCAGCAATGAGTTTCTTTTCGCTCTTTTGTTTCATGTTATTTGACAGCATACATCTTCCACCTTGAATACAGCGTGAAATAAATTCTCTTGGTTTATTTGATAGGTCATATAAATTTCCATTAGGGAAGTATACTCTGTTCTCAAATAATATGTTAGCAATTGAACAAATACTAACGTAATCATAAACGTTTAAATCAAATTCTTTTAATATGTCATTGCGGAACTTAACAAGACCTTCTCTTAAAATTCTTACATCTTGTTTGCAATAAAATGTGCTATACTTTTCTAAGTCGAAATGGTTTTCATCTATTCTGCAGTTTTCGATTAAATCTATGTTTTTCATGAACGTTTCAATATCTTTTACAAACTTACATGCTTCAGAAATGACACCAGTTCTGTTGTCATTTGCTAACAAAACACTGCTGTAGTAGTTGTATGGAAATACTTCTTTCGGTCCTGTTTGTAAGTTAAACATAGCAGGAAATAGTTTAAGCTTCTTATTTATAACACTGTAAGAGTCTTTTATAATAATTGCCCTTCCTTTATATAAGCCAGTTATTTGCATTGTTCGTGAAACTTTAATGATGGGAGTTCCTTTCACTTCTGTCATGTGTCTTAAGATGAAGTTTATATCATAACTGAGGTTATGGAAATATATTAAACTCTTGTCAGGAAGTCGTTCCAAAAATTCTGTTGCACAGTTCTGACCCCAAATGCTTTCACTCACTGAACCATCTTCACTGTCATAACATATGTTAAAAGCTTTATGAAAGCCATCAGTACTGCACTCAAAGTCAGCAAAGAAAACGTGCTCAGGAATGAACTTGCACTTATTTTTATTTACTTCTTTTGACTCGGCTTTCTTCTTCAGTTGTACACAATACTTTGGAGCATATGTCAAATCTTTAAATGGTGCAAGGTTCTGTTTATATAAGTCAGTCGTATATGTGAAAAGTTCTCCATAAGAAATAGGTTCGAAATATTTGCACTCCCACAATGTTTTCATAACATCCCATAACGGTGTTGTTCTATCATAACGAACTACATATTTGTTCTCTCTCTTTGTATAAATCTTCATCTGTTTCTCAATGTTCATTCCACCACACTCCTTCAAGATTTCTATATAGTTGCGAATGAAATATGTTGTCATTGGTAATCTTTCGTTTAGCATGTAGTGGTCTTCAACAAGAAGTAAGTCAATAGTTCGAATAGTTTTACACTCTTTTGGTATGTATCTCTTTATTTCATTATGTCTTGAGTCATTGAAGTAACCAATGGTAACATTAAATGCTATACCTGTTGCATCAGAAATTTCTTGTACTTTACTTTGAGGAAAGTCTCTAACACGAATGACTTCTCTCATGTGGTCAATAGTTTCTTCATTTACTCCAGCCTGAATGCAAGCATAAACGAAGCAGTTATCTTCTGTCATAAGTGTTGCAGTTCTTTTGTTCAGTTCATTGAAGATTGGTAGCGTTCAAGATTTATAGGTAATTGCAAAGATACTTCCAGAACTGACCGCTTCTCTTCTTATAAAACTTCTTTTCACCATTATCTTTCCAAAAGCTTTCTATAAGTGCTGGGTTTCCTGTTTGCTTAAGAGCTTCCAAAATGGCTTTCTGGTCATTTGTCAGTGTGCTTTCATCTCTATATGGTCTCTTTTTTGGTTTGCCTTTCTTTACATCTGACATCGTTAAGCCTTCATATTCTGTTAAATCATACATCTTTATTTCGGTAAGATTCTTTATGTTTGTCAAGAAGAAGTCATAGTGCATTTCAACAATACCTGCAGCATTTGCTTCTATCTCTGATATAAAGTTCTCCTTCAAGAGCTGATGTAGTAATGTTCCAATATTATTGAGGTTTAACGTAGAACATTCATACTTTCCACCAAGTTTATAACATACCATCCATCTCTGTTGGGAGTTTATTTTAATCTTCTCTAAGAGTCTCATGAAAACCTTACCGAAATGTTTGTGTAAGTAGTCTCTGTTTGGTTCATCTAAAGCTTCGATGTTAAAGTCAATGAGTCTATTGCCTGTCTTAACATTCCTCTTCCTATTCTCTTCATCTTTCTTTAACCATCTCTCACATTCTTTTGGTTTGTCGTCAATGGAACGAAGGACATCATTAGCTTTGCGAACTTGTTCTATAGCGCTCTTAAACATCTCTCTTCTCTGTTGTTTCAGTGTATCGTCTCTCTTTCGTGTTTTACCAACGTTTGCATTTGTTATGTCATACATTTCTCTTCTTACTTCATGAGGTACTGAACGTCTATGATATAAGTCAATAGCAACGTCATTTAAAGGAAATGCTCTTGCATGGACTTCGTCCTCGCCGCGTTGCGGCTTTATGAACTCATGAATTCTATCATAAGTTATTTCACCATTGTAGTCTTTAATGAAGTCAGCGAGTAATTTTTTGTTTGTTGCGTAATGCTTTGCAACATCTATATTAGCTTCTGTAAGAAGTTGTTTTATTTCCGAGTGTTCTAACTTAGACAACTTCCGATACATCTTTAGTAGGAAATAAAAAAAATATTTTTTGAAAAAATTAGATTAGATTTTTTTAAGTTATTTTTCAAAATAATTTAATATTTTATTTTAATGAAACACATGCAAGATTGCAAGTTCTTTTCATACAATGCTCTCGCTACTGCCATCAAGAATGAGTTCAATAATGCTTCAAATGTTAATGTTATCTTTAACAAGAAGTTTGTGAAAGAATCTAAGTTTGGTCAGTATGTCAGACCATTAGCTATCGTCATTGACCGCAAATGTTATACTTCACAAGAGTTAGCAGTAGTTTTGAAACAAAAAAGTTTCTTCGTGAATGCCAAAGATACTCATTATACTGTCATAAAGAACTCTAACATTGACTTCTTCAGTATTGCTTTAAATCTTTCCGAACAGAAAGAATATAAGAAAGGTGAAACAAATGTGAAATATTATCCTTCATCTCTGAAGACAATAACGAACAAAGATGTTATACAGAAATTCTTACCAAAGGTTGAAGAAGCTTCTATTGACATTGACGAAGGAAGTGAAATGGTTGAAGAAATAGACCCTGAAGCTATTTAAGCAAAAATATATTTTTGGTTAGTCTTCATATCGATATTTTAAACAATTCCCCAATGTATAAACTTTTCATACGCTTTTTCATAAGCTTTATATACCTTCAGAAATTTTGCATAATCTTTAGAAGCATTTAGATATTGTTTAAATGCTTTGTATGTCTTCAGAAATTTTGCATAATCTTTTACATGTTGTTCGTTCTCTTCTTCTGTCATGAGTTCCGAATATTCTAAATTCATGTTCTTTCATATGAGATAAAATTTTATAAAAAAATAAAATTAGCTTAGATTTTTTTATTCTTCCTCTTTGAAGTTATCGAAATATTCTGTTATTTTTTCCTTCAGTAATGTTAAGTCTTCTTTGAATGTAAGTATTGTGCAACCTTTGATGTCATAGTGTGTTTGAGGAAGAGTATTTTTGACAATTTCCTTTATTTGCTCATTCGGTGTCATTGAAATCGGTAAGTTTTCACGATAGAACCAGTTTCTGTCAAATTTATATATTTTAGCTAAGTCATAAAAGCTCTTGTTGTTTCTTCTGACTAAATGCAACATAACCACATCTTTATCTTCTTCTTTCTCCAACTCTTCAGTATATATCATATACTTATAACTCTTTTCCTTTCCTTTTGGTACCGAACGCGGTATTCTTTTCTGTATGCTTTTGTCTTTGGATTCAATGACTTCATCTTTTGCTTGAAGTTTCTTTTCCATCTCTCCACGTTCTGCTTTATATAGTTCATCTAACATCATGAAAATATAACAAGCATAACGAGGTGAAGCCCACATTGCTACAGCATTTACTAAAAGTCTATGAACATAATAACCTTTCAAACCAGGAGCCAAATTCTTGCGATTTTCGTACGGAATCTCTTCTCTCGGTTTTCCGAGGGAAGCAATCATATGAGGAAATTCTTCTAAAAGTTCTTTTGTCTGTTGGTTTTCAAACCAATGATATGCTTGCTTTGTAGAACGAAGAGCATTCATTATACTTTGCATTTGGTACATATCGTCTTTGACTGAACGAATGAGACGTAACTGTTTGTTATACTGTATGTACTCGTATTCTTCATTTATGGCTTCATGAACGATAGCAGTTGTTGGGTTCTCTAATGTTGACATTACTGTCTTTACATACAAAATAAAAAAATAAATAAAAATAAAACTAACTTTATTTTTCTAACTAATGAAATTCATTATTTTTGTGCTGAATTCAATAAAAATATATTTTAGGGTAGATGGTTAGATCTAACCCGATATCTACCCTCATTTCTACCCCAGTTATTTTATAAACATTTCACATGATATACGTTATGAATTCGTGAAATTTTGTGAAAACTCAACGGTTTGACACATGCCCTAAAAATTATTTTACTCAGAATTTTGTGCTGAATTCAATAAAAATATATTTTAGGGTAGATGGTTAGATCTAACCCGATATCTACCCTCATTTCTACCCCAGTTATTTTATAAACGTTTCACATGGTAAACGTTATGAATTCGTGAAATTTTAAATATTTTTGTAGCTTCTATTTCTTCAGTTAATATATCAAAAATTTTAACGATACCGAAAGTTTCTTTATACTTCTTCTTGACATCAGATAAAAGGAAATCATCGGCTGTGGGATAGTTTTTATTCAGAAATTCTAACATGTTCATTTTATTTTCTGCCGGTTTCTCTGCCTCCCTCTTTAAATCTTCGTAATCGTTTCTCATTCTTTCTATCTCTTTTACTGAATAGTTATATTTCCTAATTGCTGCTTTACATTTAGAACATTGCGGATTCATTTTTGCGTTATATTCTGAAACCTTACCTGCTAAAATAACTAAAGCATCAATGGCTTTCTTTAAATCTGAAGCAGTTGGTTTTATCTGTTCATGCCATACTTTACCTCTTCTGTCTTTATCTCTTATCTGCCATACACATTTTGCAACTAATGAAACAAAGTTGTCGTATGTCTTAAACTCCCCCGATTTATATATGTCAGAGATGTTCTTATATATCATGTCGCAATCTTTATCCATAACTTTGTGGTTGCAATGAAAACCTAAGAATTCAGAATTTACCTTACGAATGAATTTCTTAATTTCTGCTGAATCAGTAACTTTAACTTCTATTTCATCGAATTCATGAATAGCGAGCTTTTGTTGCTGTACTTCCGGTAATTTAGGTAAATGGTCAATAATGTCCTGCATGTCATAAAGATATTCTTCATTTTCTTCATCCTGTGCGGTACAGTCTAAATTACTTGTTAAAAGTTCTTGCTTTATTCTTTGTATTTCTGTTTCGAAAGTAAATGAAGAAGGAATGAAGCTTTTCATCTCTACTAACATAGATGTTGGATTCATGACTAACGAGTTTGGTGCTGTTGTTTGAATTGTTGTTGTGCCGATTGTTGAAATCATATCTTTTATACAAAATAAAAAAAAATAAATAAAAATAAAACTAATCTTAAGGAAATTCATGAAAATTCATGAGGGTAGAAATCGGGTTAGAAATCGGGTTAGATCTAACCATCTACCCTAAACATTATTTTTGGTGTAAATTTCATTGACTGACTGACTGACTGACGGCACAAAGTGGCTTAACGAAAACATTAATATATAAAATTCATGAAAATTCAAGACCTTTGGGTCTCGCCGCTTAGCGGCTGAGGGTAGAAATCGGGTTAGATATCGGGTTAGATCTAACCATCTACCCTAAAAATTATTTTTGCTGAATTCAGCAACAAAATGAACGAGGTCAGGATGTATGTAAATACCTTTGAATTCATTTATAACGCCCTTAGTAAGCTCATAAAATGCTTGTTTTGAGGTTGAGCCACTTTTGGCTTGACCGTATTCTTTCATCCAAAACTCAAGAATTTCCTGCATGAATTTTGTATAAAAAGCAACCGCCGGAATTCGGACTGTTGCTATATTCTTCACAAAATGCCTTATAATACTCTTCCCAGGACTTATTTTCCAACAACTTTCTAAAGTTTTTCATTAACTGACTGACTGACGGCACAAAGTGGCTTAACGAAAACATTAATATATAAAATTCATGAAAATTCATGAAAATTCATGAGGGTAGAAATGAGGTTAGAAATCGGGTTAGATCTAACCATCTACCCTAAAAATTATTTTAGTTAAAGTCCATCAAATATTTTTAGGATACTTTCACCAAATAATGTTTATATCAGATGAAACAGTAAAGTATTATATCTATTAAATCGTCTATGATGCAAATTGTGTATAGAATGAAATGAAGGTAGAAATGAGGGTAGATATCGGGTTAGATCTAACAATTTACGATAAAATATATTTCTGTATTTCATCCGCCGCTTTGCGGCTTTATGTTAAAATAAATGGTACCATTAATGATATCATGACTGTTCTCGTTCATGTCTGATTTACATCTAATGAAAAAGTTTAGAAGAATTTTCTTATTCTTTCTGGCATATTTTTGTCTTTCCAGTACTCCCGCTCTAATGGTCCCAGATGTGTTGGCTTCGACTCTCTCAAGTTCTTAGATGGTATAACATCTTCAACGCCTCCTTCATATCTTACTTTATAAGTGTCATCGTTTGTGTTATAGCCAAGTATTTCAATAACCACTCCTCGCTTTGCTTCGTCAATGGTTTCAGCAAGTTTGCCATTACTACTTTCGACTAATTTATGTCGAGGATAAAACGCAATGGAGTCGTCAGCAGCTTTTATAAGATATCCATTACCTTGCGTAGAGTCTACGATATAATAATTTCGACTTAACCTTAAACGTTTCTTTGTCAACGGTTTGTCGTCAAGAACTACACGAACTTTTGTTCCAGGAATGAGGGTAAATTGTGTTGAATTTCTGATATTTTGTGTTTGACTTCGTTTCTTTTGTATATACTTTTCTTCTTGTTGTTGTGTCATTGAATTTGGTGTATGTCCTGTTGTAGAATGTGTTGAGGAATTATATACTTCGAGAAAATGTTTCATTGTTTCTTCGGTAAAGTCTCGCTCTTGATTTAAATCTCTGAGAGTCCTTATGAAGCGGTTTATGATGCCGAGTATGTTATGGTTATGGTCTTCAGTAGTGTAGTGAGTTATGTTATGCTTAATGAGAAATTCTGTGATTTCATTGCTGAGGTATGCACTGTCTTGGTCTGATGTTAAAGTACTTGGGCTATGTTCTGCTACAAACTTTTGTAAAACTCTTAACACTTCACGAGTTCCTTTATTTTTCATTGGATATGCATATGCTTTACGAGTGTTAACATTAATGAAGATGAGGAATGGTTTATGTCCTCCTTTTCTGCTTTGAATGAGAGTGTCAAATTGGTATGCGTCAGGAGTGTTGGAGTAAATTGGTAAAAAGTAGTCGTAAGGGTTTATTTTTGTTTGATGTACAACATTTTTGTCAAAGAACCTTTTCACTTCAGCTCTGTTAGTAAATCCCCAACTCTTTGCAGCTTCATTGAACTTCTTAAATGACCTCCACAGTGATGATTCGAATACTTCTTTTAAACTCATTTATGTAAAAATAAAGATTTTATTCAAGACGGTACCATGCATAAACTGTCATATAAGGTGGCATATAATCTGCACCCGAACCTGTTGGATTTGTTGTAAATGTATGTGTATGATTACCTCCTGGTTCAGTTGGTCGAAAAGTCTTTTTTGCTGAATTGTTATAAGATGGAGATAAAACGTCATTGCCAGCTTTATAGTCTGAGTTGTATAATGGGTGGTCTCTTAATGAGTGGCTATGGTCGCCAGAAAAGTTTGTCGTTCCTGTATGAGTGTGCGCAGGTAAGTTTGCTTCTTTAATTTTCTTTGAGCCTCCTGTTTGCTTTGAAGAGTTAGCACAGTATAAGAATTTATCTACAATCTGCTGCCACGTACCAAAACCTAAAACACTTGCTGGATTTGTTGAGTTCATTGACGTATAAATAGAGCCTATAGGATATAATGTTTGAAGTATTTCAGTCTTTAATGTTTGAAGCTCTGTTTTGTCTGCTTTCTTATCATATAAATCTTGAGCAGTGAATTTAACATTATTTTCATCATCCATGACATAAACATTTTTACAGCTAATGTCTTTCTTCGTTGTTATGTTTTCATTCGATGTTAAACCTTGTGGAAAGTTAGGAGGTTTATAATATAATGCATCCCCACCAGTTCCGCCAACCGTTCCTTCAATACTTTCTATAGCAACAGTTGAGAAGGAGTTATGTGTATGTTCTTTATCTGCTTTTTTATTTAACATTGCTGGTAGTTCATATGTTTCAAAGTTTCTGACATGACCTTCGATATTTATACATTTGTTATTTAAGGAGTTTAGTGTATCTTTTACGCTTGTACTTGGATTCTCTAAAGGTGCACTTGAACCAAGGGTATAGTTCAATATTATGTCGTCTGCTCTAACAGTAGTGAAGGATTCATGTGTATGATTTTTGTCTGCTTTACTGTCTAATGAAGTTTGAAGTGAATTTATGTCGGAGATATTGTGTTTATGAGATTTCAAAACTTTGTTCGTTGCATCAAGTTCATCTTTGTCAGCTTTACTTTTAATAGCATCTTCAAAAGTTATTTTTGCCTTAACTCTCAACATAAATCTTGGTTCAACTAATACACCGTTAACAAAGAAGTATGAAGCATAAATTTCATTGTTATAACCAAATGCTTCTGGTGCTTTACCTGTGTCATACTGTACAGTACAGCTTATGTCATAACCTTCAGCACGAATGAATTTATATCTTCTTTCATTAACATCTTTTGTCTTCACTTCTTCATCCTGTGTTAAATATCCATGATAATCCGTTATAATCTGTTCATCTGAACTTATATAATGAACATGGTTTTTATCTGCTTTATTATCTAATTTCTCATTAACATCATTCACCTCTAATTCAACTTTTCCGCCAGAACTCTTATTATCATTAATCTTTTTCATTAATTCAGTAATTACGTCATAAAGACTATATTCTGTTTTCGGTTCTGTAAATAATGAGTCAAAATTTCTTTTCATCATTACATCACTTACATTAATGATATCAGCTATACCTTTTTCATTTATTCTCTTCATTAGTTCTGCAATAATGACGAATATATAATCTGTTAATTTATTCTCTTCATCAAGGGTTATAGAATGATTTGAAATCGAATCATTAACACCTCTAAATAAATCAATAACTTCAGGATACACGTTTTTAATGTCTCGAATAACCTGACCCGTATCCTCTGGTTTCTCCTCTTCTTCGTGGGCTTCGCCCTCACCGCTACGCGGCTTTATGTCTCTAACCATCATCAACGCAGCCATAACCGGAGGGTTTGTTGCTACCTGTTCGAAAATCTGTCCGTTATGTATGGTATATCTAAATAATTTCTTTGTGTTTGTTAAAACATTTGAAACAAGTCTTTTAAAACCATCTACAAAATTTCCCGTTTCACCTAATGTTCTTGCAGCATTTACAAGCTCACCCATTCCCGCTTTTGACCCCAAAAACGTCCATATTGCATTTATTTCACTCTGTATCGTTGTCCATTCAGCGAAACTAACACCCGCATTCGCTAAGTTGAAAATGAAACCCAGTGGATCGAACTTAATTCCGCCTTCTTTTTCAATTTCAACGAACTCACTAACATGAGATTTTAAATATTCTTTCGTTAAAATCGTTTTTCCTGATGTCATGCTGTTAACGGAACTATCACCATCAAAAGTTAACGAATTCAATTTCGTCATTGATGCTTTTATTTCATACACCGCTTTATCAATAGTTTTTGGCTCACCTTCTTTAGAAGTGTATGAAACATTAATGAATGAATTATATGTATTCATGAATGAATTATATGTATTCATGAATGAGTTAAAATCAATGATTTTCATTAATGAAGCTTTTAATGATTCATTAACTGTTAAATCCCTTAATTCAATTATTGAATTGTCATTAATGAAAGGTACACTGCAAACCGTCGAATTTGGATCAAATGCCGTAGTCGGCTGGGGAGTATTAATTATATAAGTCATTAAATCATTAAGTGACGTAAATAATGTTGTTGTTTTTGATTTAATTTCTTTAGCATCTGTTATATACGGTAATTTTATTTCTGTAGTTTCTGAATTAAAGATATTCGCTAAAATGTTTTGTAAACTGTTTTGAACAGCTGTATAAACCGTTGAATTCGGAACTCTTACGATTTCACCGTCCTTAATAAAAGGCATTGCACATGGTGTAGTGCTTGGGTCAAATCTTTTTGGGCTATGATTCAACATATATTCTAATGCTTCATAAACAGACCTATATACGGTTGTATTATCTTTTTCAATAATTTCACCGTCCTTTATAAACGGCATAGTACATGGAGTTAAAATAGGGTCAAACTTTTCATAGTCCTTCCATGTTATATATTTCTCAGTATTTCCATCAGAAATAACAATATATTTATCAGTAAGTGTGAGAGAGTATTGCCCAAAATATAAACGTTTAGCTCTGTCAGCTTCATACGCATATGCAGCTATACTCATATTTTAATGAGAATAAAATATTGTTCTATTTACAAAGTACAGACCCGAACGAATACGGGACAGTAAAACTACAAACAAACTTAGGTCTACAGAATGAGGCACTTGCATTCAGAATGGTTGACTTTAATACTATTGCTTCATTCGTTATAACAGATGAAACAGATTTCATGGAGCTTGAAATAGATGGAAAGAAGCACGAAATAAGATTTCACAATAATGTAGAATATAAGATGGAAACATTAGCTGGAGTGTTAAATGCTCTCATAAATACTACAATAAACAAGGATAACGAAGAAAACTTAATGAAATGTTAAACTTATTGCAGGAGTTTTGAAGTTCAGTTATGCGAAGGAGTTTAAGATAACACGAATGAGTCATAGAGTTCAATTGCTTCTGGGAGCATATCATATGACATTTCCTTTGAAAGTGTTGACAAAACGATTGAGATGAAATCTGTTCCATACGTATGTTATGGTAATTGTTTGTACGTTGAGTCAAAAATAGCTAATGTCACAGGTATTTCAGGAGTTAATAGTAAAGGTTCAGTAGAATATAAGTCTTTCTGTTATGAAGTAAATTCAATGTTTATTCCAAACGTTCCTGTCATAGCAACTCATTTAGGTAAATGGGTTCGCATTAGTCCACATAATTTGAAAGACATGCAATTCAGACTTGTTGACTTTCAAGGAGAGCCTGTAGAACTGAAGGCACCAGTGCGAATGACTGTTGAAGTTGACTTTTTAGAAAATATTAAATGCAACAGCTTACAAGAGAACTCAGAGCTAAAAATATAAAGTATGAATGTTATGTATTAGGTCATGAACTTTGGTTGTTGCTGTTTGATGAAACAAATGAGTTAGTTATGTCAGTCAAGAGAACAGAAAAATATTGTGTTAGTGAAAACTGCACCAAGTCAATAAGATTAGGTTTGCATTATGAAGATGAGTTCAATACTGTTGAAGAAGTTTTGGATAGATATTACAAATTGCTAACTTGAAATTTTTTGACTGACTGACTGCTTTAATTTACTAAAACATATTTCAAGCAAAGTTTATATTCTGTTGAAAGTTTTGTGTATTCATTCGAATATTTATACTTAAACTCAACTCCTGTAGTTCCTGGTGTTTCAATGATGCGGATGTTACCTATTTTCATGAATGGTGGCGTTTGACCACAGCATTCGATTTCAGGGTCGAGATAGTCAATGACACATTGTTTCCCTGTTATTCGCGATATAACATTTTCAAGGTCCTCCTTTGTTAGAATTATTTGGTTCTTACTTATAAGATTTATCAAAAGCTTCTTATCGTCTTTGAGTAAGATAGTTTGATATAACTGAAGAAGGTAATGGTCTACGTTATCTGAAGGATTTGTTTGAACATTTGTGTAAGGATTGTCGTTGGCTTCTCTTGAAAGAATTTGGTCCAGTGGTGGATACTCTAACTTAACATCTGATGTAGCGTTAGCGTTTGAAGCTGTGTTTAAATTCACCGACTTAAGTTCTGGTTCTTTCAAACACTCTGAACTATAGTTCTTTATGACAATATTGTTTGTCGTTCGTGAGTCAACATTTGATGTTGGTTCAATTGGAACATTAACGGCACCAGCTAAGATGGATTTGCTTCTCATTTCATATAGAATAAAAACCTTTTATATGTATGAAATGAACAATATACTCGACAAGGGTTTGAATGTAAAGCTAACGAATGAAAATATTGTTGAATTCACTGAGACAGGAGCTGTGTATAAAGATGTAGAACTACTGAACAAAAGAGCTAAGGGAAGAAGCAGGAACATGAACAAAGGGTGGAAGCCTATAAAAATTTATGTCAATGATGGCTCAGGAGGTTCAAACATAAAGTATGCAGAAAGTTATAGAGTTTATGCTCTCAAAGGTGAAAAGCCTTCATTTAAGAACAGCTATTCTAACGCATATCCTCAAAAGCTAACGGATGGGGAAGTGGATGATATGAATGACAGCAAAAAATATTAACAGAAATGGCGACAGAGATGCATGGAATTTGTTTACCATCAGTCAATTGAAGGTTAAAACTTTAAAACAATGTTGTCGTTCCCATGGAATATTTTTGACTTTAATGGTATTAGTCATGATATGAATCTCAAGGTATGAACGAGGAGAGATGAGAGACTTATATGCTTCCCAAATTTCTTCAAAAGGTAATGTTATACCTGACTGTTTCCAAATGAGTTCAATATCATAACGTGAGAAACCTTGAAAGATAACGAAGTCAGTTATGAGACGTTTTATGTTTAAAGCTAAAAACCTCCATGTTTGCATAAGTATTGCTACAGTTAAGTGGTAATGTCTGACTTTAGTAATGATGTTAGCTAATGGTGAGTCTGGTTTTGACACTAAACCTTTTCCGGCGAAGTCGTCGCAAACGAGCAGAGTGTTTGAAGGATATTTTTTTGAAGGGGTATTTTGAAAGTTTTGATAAAATGTAGTTTGTAAGTCGTTTCATATCGTAAACTCCTGAGTACTGACGTAATTGGTGTTTGTCAATAATTCTTTCCATATCCTCAGAAGTCTTTTGCATTCCTGACTGTATGAACTCTACGATAGCATAATATTTCCTCTTACGTCGAATGTAACGTTGAAGAAATTCAATGAGTTCACTGTCTGGAACTTTAACGACAGAGGCTTGAACTTTTGACATAAATGTTTTCGCTGTTGAATCCATAGAGTCTGAAGTTGCTGATATAATGATTTGGTCATAATATGAATCTTGACCTAAACGCTCTGTTATGAGTATATGACGAATGAGGTTAAATGTCTTACCTGAACCCATCTTTCCACAATAGAAATAAACACCATTTGAACAGAACTCATAGTCCTTACTGAAAGGAAGAATGAGAGAAGAGTTAAGTTTATCTGTGGTTTCATTCATGTCTTCATCTACGTCATGTATTAAATGCTTCATTTTATCTCCATTAAAAATGCAAGTCAGAAATATTCAGAACATAGCACCGAGTCTAACTGACAAGAGTATAAAGATATACTATGAACATGTTATGATGAAACCAACCAAAATTCAAGAAAGTCAGTATACTTATGAATATCCAAGACACTGGGTAGAGTATGTAGGAGGTGAGAAAGCTATTGAAATAAGACAAGTTAGAAGTATTCCAGCAGGAAGAACAATATTATTGAAGAACTTTAATGTTTTGAGGTATAATGATGAAACAAAGAAGCAAGATAGTTTTCCTGTTGCTGTGTATGTGAACCTAGACACAGGTGATGACATGAAAGTTTTTAACACAAAGCTTCAAACGGTAGTGAGAGAACAACTTACTGCGGAAGGACATCCATTACCTTCAGAAGTTACCATAGCATATAATTTTGAAACAAACTCAATAGATTTTAAAGTCGTCTCTGCAAAGAAGTCAGGTTTTACATTTAATGAAGCAGATGTATATTCGAATGAAAACTTCAAAGCTATTGCATGGTTAGATAATGACGATTGCTTTAAGAAAATATTTAAATACAGTGACTCAACGATGTCAATAGATGACCTTCGTGGAATGTTACCATCGACGTTTACAGTAGAAGGTTCAGCAGGATTGCTTACAAGATTGTCAATTGGTGGCATTTGGTCTCGTGAGAACATTGTTATAAAATCCAGTATAAGTGAATTTGCTGAAGAATCTATATTATGTCTTTCAAACTACATGTATTCGCCGCCGAAGCATTATAGTATAACAAACTTTGTCAGTAAGTTTAATATAAGACTTGTCGAACCTTCTTCAATGAAAGATGTTGTGCTACCTAAAGATGGAAAGGATGGACTCACTATTGAGATGATTTTAATAGCATATTAAATGAGTTTGTTCTTGAAGGTCATTCATGATGAAATAACTGTTGTAGAAGATGTTAGCAATTGTTCAGACATTTTGAAGCGTATAGATGATATAAGAAATAAGTTAGATAGACCGCAAAGCGGTGAGGGCGAAGCCCGTGAGAACGTTTATGTTTCATTGACTTTCTCCAGTAACGAGAACTTTTATGAGATAATATTGAAGAGAGATGATTTTAATATGGTGTAAATGGTAGCTTGGGCAGCTTTAGGCGCAATGGGAACAAAAGCATTAGCATTTGGAGCAAAAGCACTTGGAGCTTATGACGCAGTAAATAAAATGAGTGGAGGAAGGGTTTCGAAGACATTAGATGCAAATAAAGGGAAGATTGGAGGCTGGGTTGCAAAGAAGTTAAGATTAAATAAAATGGGGCTCATAAATAAAGCATCCAATTTGGTTGCGACTGAGTCAGAAAATGCTTTAGGAAAGGACGATGAGTTTGCAAAACACGCAAAAGACTTTAATGACCAGATGAAAGGTGAAACAATGCATTTAAATAGATTCGATGGAACTAAAGAAAATGTTTCTTCTCCACCAGTAGTTCTTCCGTATGGTCCCTATGGAATGTATGGAAACCCTTACGAAAGACCATTTGACCCATTGACTGGTGGAAGTAACTGGTATCATTACGGCCGAAGAAGAAAGACAGTCAAGTTGGAGACAGACGTGAAGAAAGCAACTAAAAAGAAACCAAGGAAGAGAGTTATAAAGCAATGAATTCAACAGGGTAGAAATGAGGTTAGAAATCGGGTTAGATCTAACCATCTACCCTAAATTTATTTTTGTGCTATGTTTTCATACGTGTGATGGTGGTGATATCATTTTTTTTAAGTTTATTTTTTTATAAATGACAGAACAAAAATATAACATTTCTACTCAGCAGGAATGAGACCCTTACTGACTATGTATTCGTTTAATGCTTGATGAAAACAATGGTACATATTATCGTATGGGTATACACAGCGTCTGTTTCCATCGTCGTCATATATGTAGAGCTCAAATCCAGTCCAACCTTCTTTTGTACAATATGTAGCTTTATTTAAGTATGCATTTATGTAGATAAGGCAATTTTCTTCATCGCTCCAGAAATAATTTTTGTTCTTTGTTGAAATAGTTTTCGTTCCTCTGCGACCATAAGGAATGTATGCAATGAACTTTGCGTCATATGGGATTGTAATATATTCAGGGTTTCTTTCATCGTCAATGGGTCTGTCTTTGTTAAAATGCATGTTTCTCAGTTTTACTTGAGTTTTGAATAGTTCACGGAAACGTTCTGGGAAAGAGTCATAGTAAATGTAGTCAGACATGTCTTTACAATGAAATTAAAAAGTTGGAAAATAAAAATAAGGTTATTTTTATTTAGTGAGGATGGTAGTGAATTCGTTAGTGAAGTCGTTAGTGAGGTGAAGTGGTTGGCGGCTTTGTAAATATTTAAGGTTAAGTTGGTGTTATGGTTGTGTTGTAAAATATACGTTAATGGTTTTGTAAAGTGTCAAATTCACATATAATGGGTAAGGTGGAACGCAGTGCCTCCGTACCCATGATAGTCATACTAACTAGGAATACACAATTTCATGCTCACAATTCATCACAACACTCGGCAAGCAATACTTCCAGCAGCAAGATGCCGATGACACATTTCAAAAGATTGTGCATGATGTTACGGAATCAGCAAACAAACCAGATATTGCCGTTACATTCCAATATCAAACTGAGACTCCTGATGAAAGCTTCTATTCGGTTTCGCTTCACATTCCTCTTGGTGCAGCAGGTATTGATCAAGGAATTAAACAGATGTGCACAGATGATTCTCATATCAATGAAATCTCAACATTCCTCTGGGTCGACGTTCAGAGGAATTGGTCTGATCCAAATGTCTTCTTTGACAAATTTGAGATCAAGAAGAACTACAAAACTCAACTCAGTGAAGGAACGTATGTATTTAAGATACATTCCATTATTGCTTATCATCAAGGTCATTTCGTTGCCTTCGTCAACAAAGGAAGAGTTTGGTTCATGCTCGACGATGAAATTACTTACATTGTTCCTGATGGTTTGATCAAAGTTAGTATACATATCATGTGTACGGAGGCACTGCGCGCCTCCTTACACTTGATATGTGAATTTGACACTTTACAAAATCGTTAACGTATATTTTACAACACAAACGACAACCTAACTTAACCTTAAATATTTACAAAGCCGCCAACCACTTCACTTCACTAACGTTTTCACAAACGACTTCACTACTGTAAAAAATAAACGTTCTCACTTACAAAAGTATTGCAACTCTTCCCATTGCTGTGCTTCACACAATAGTTCATATTCTTCAGTATCGCTGCTGTCACTCCAATCGTCAGAGTCAAAGTCACTGTCAAAATGAATGTTAGTAAGTTTTGACAAAGCTAATGAAACACGCTTACCGTTTGTATCGTATGCTTGTATAAACTTTCCATTCTTCATTCCTTCATAAACGCTCAAACTAACTTTACCCTTTCTCCCCCGTATCTGATAGAATGTATTTTCACGAGGAACGAAGAACAAATTCTTGAACTCATGACCGTTGTAGTTTGTTATCTCAATAGTTTTCGTCATTTATATAAAAATAAAATAAAAAATAAACTTAAAAATTAATGATATCACCACCATCACACGTATGAAAACATAGCACAAAAATAAATTTAGGGTAGATGGTTAGATCTAACCCGATTTCTAACCTCATTTCTACCCTGTTGAATTCATTGCTTTATAACTCTCTTCCTTGGTTTCTTTTTAGTTGCTTTCTTCACGTCTGTCTCCAACTTGACTGTCTTTCTTCTTCGGCCGTAATGATACCAGTTACTTCCACCAGTCAATGGGTCAAATGGTCTTTCGTAAGGGTTTCCATACATTCCATAGGGACCATACGGAAGAACTACTGGTGGAGAAGAAACATTTTCTTTAGTTCCATCGAATCTATTTAAATGCATTGTTTCACCTTTCATCTGGTCATTAAAGTCTTTTGCGTGTTTTGCAAACTCATCGTCCTTTCCTAAAGCATTTTCTGACTCAGTCGCAACCAAATTGGATGCTTTATTTATGAGCCCCATTTTATTTAATCTTAACTTCTTTGCAACCCAGCCTCCAATCTTCCCTTTATTTGCATCTAATGTCTTCGAAACCCTTCCTCCACTCATTTTATTTACTGCGTCATAAGCTCCAAGTGCTTTTGCTCCAAATGCTAATGCTTTTGTTCCCATTGCGCCTAAAGCTGCCCAAGCTACCATTTACACCATATTAAAATCATCTCTCTTCAATATTATCTCATAAAAGTTCTCGTTACTGGAGAAAGTCAATGAAACATAAACGTTCTCACGGGCTTCGCCCTCACCGCTTTGCGGTCTATCTAACTTATTTCTTATATCATCTATACGCTTCAAAATGTCTGAACAATTGCTAACATCTTCTACAACAGTTATTTCATCATGAATGACCTTCAAGAACAAACTCATTTAATATGCTATTAAAATCATCTCAATAGTGAGTCCATCCTTTCCATCTTTAGGTAGCACAACATCTTTCATTGAAGAAGGTTCGACAAGTCTTATATTAAACTTACTGACAAAGTTTGTTATACTATAATGCTTCGGCGGCGAATACATGTAGTTTGAAAGACATAATATAGATTCTTCAGCAAATTCACTTATACTGGATTTTATAACAATGTTCTCACGAGACCAAATGCCACCAATTGACAATCTTGTAAGCAATCCTGCTGAACCTTCTACTGTAAACGTCGATGGTAACATTCCACGAAGGTCATCTATTGACATCGTTGAGTCACTGTATTTAAATATTTTCTTAAAGCAATCGTCATTATCTAACCATGCAATAGCTTTGAAGTTTTCATTCGAATATACATCTGCTTCATTAAATGTAAAACCTGACTTCTTTGCAGAGACGACTTTAAAATCTATTGAGTTTGTTTCAAAATTATATGCTATGGTAACTTCTGAAGGTAATGGATGTCCTTCCGCAGTAAGTTGTTCTCTCACTACCGTTTGAAGCTTTGTGTTAAAAACTTTCATGTCATCACCTGTGTCTAGGTTCACATACACAGCAACAGGAAAACTATCTTGCTTCTTTGTTTCATCATTATACCTCAAAACATTAAAGTTCTTCAATAATATTGTTCTTCCTGCTGGAATACTTCTAACTTGTCTTATTTCAATAGCTTTCTCACCTCCTATATACTCTACCCAGTGTCTTGGATATTCATAAGTATACTGACTTTCTTGAATTTTGGTTGGTTTCATCATAACATGTTCATAGTATATCTTTATACTCTTGTCAGTTAGACTCGGTGCTATGTTCTGAATATTTCTGACTTGCATTTTTAATGGAGATAAAATGAAGCATTTAATACATGACGTAGATGAAGACATGAATGAAACCACAGATAAACTTAACTCTTCTCTCATTCTTCCTTTCAGTAAGGACTATGAGTTCTGTTCAAATGGTGTTTATTTCTATTGTGGAAAGATGGGTTCAGGTAAGACATTTAACCTCATTCGTCATATACTCATAACAGAGCGTTTAGGTCAAGATTCATATTATGACCAAATCATTATATCAGCAACTTCAGACTCTATGGATTCAACAGCGAAAACATTTATGTCAAAAGTTCAAGCCTCTGTCGTTAAAGTTCCAGACAGTGAACTCATTGAATTTCTTCAACGTTACATTCGACGTAAGAGGAAATATTATGCTATCGTAGAGTTCATACAGTCAGGAATGCAAAAGACTTCTGAGGATATGGAAAGAATTATTGACAAACACCAATTACGTCAGTACTCAGGAGTTTACGATATGAAACGACTTACAAACTACATTTTATCAAAACTTTCAAAATACCCCTTCAAAAAATATCCTTCAAACACTCTGCTCGTTTGCGACGACTTCGCCGGAAAAGGTTTAGTGTCAAAACCAGACTCACCATTAGCTAACATCATTACTAAAGTCAGACATTACCACTTAACTGTAGCAATACTTATGCAAACATGGAGGTTTTTAGCTTTAAACATAAAACGTCTCATAACTGACTTCGTTATCTTTCAAGGTTTCTCACGTTATGATATTGAACTCATTTGGAAACAGTCAGGTATAACATTACCTTTTGAAGAAATTTGGGAAGCATATAAGTCTCTCATCTCTCCTCGTTCATACCTTGAGATTCATATCATGACTAATACCATTAAAGTCAAAAATATTCCATGGGAACGACCAACATTGTTTTAAAGTTTAACCTTCAATTGACTGATGGTAAACAAATTCCATGCATCTCTGTCGCCATTTCTGTTAATATTTTTGCTGTCATTCATATCATCCACTTCCCCATCCGTTAGCTTTTGAGGATATGCGTTAGAATAGCTGTTCTTAAATGAAGGCTTTTCACCTTTGAGAGCATAAACTCTATAACTTTCTGCATACTTTATGTTTGAACCTCCTGAGCCATCATTGACATAAATTTTTATAGGCTTCCACCCTTTGTTCATGTTCCTGCTTCTTCCCTTAGCTCTTTTGTTCAGTAGTTCTACATCTTTATACACAGCTCCTGTCTCAGTGAATTCAACAATATTTTCATTCGTTAGCTTTACATTCAAACCCTTGTCGAGTATATTGTTCATTTCATACATATAAAAGGTTTTTATTCTATATGAAATGAGAAGCAAATCCATCTTAGCTGGTGCCGTTAATGTTCCAATTGAACCAACATCAAATGTTGACTCACGAACGACAAACAATATTGTCATAAAGAACTATAGTTCAGAGTGTTTGAAAGAACCAGAACTTAAGTCGGTGAATTTAAACACAGCTTCAAACGCTAACGCTACATCAGATGTTAAGTTAGAGTATCCACCACTGGACCAAATTCTTTCAAGAGAAGCCAACGACAATCCTTACACAAATGTTCAAACAAATCCTTCAGATAACGTAGACCATTACCTTCTTCAGTTATATCAAACTATCTTACTCAAAGACGATAAGAAGCTTTTGATAAATCTTATAAGTAAGAACCAAATAATTCTAACAAAGGAGGACCTTGAAAATGTTATATCGCGAATAACAGGGAAACAATGTGTCATTGACTATCTCGACCCTGAAATCGAATGCTGTGGTCAAACGCCACCATTCATGAAAATAGGTAACATCCGCATCATTGAAACACCAGGAACTACAGGAGTTGAGTTTAAGTATAAATATTCGAACGAGTATACAAAACTATATACTGACTATAAGCTTTGTTTGAAATATGTTTTAGTAAATTAAAGCAGTCAGGAGGGCTCTTTGAGCCCATCTTGGCGCTTTGCGCCGTCAGTCAAAAAAATTTCAAGTTAGCAATTTGTAATATCTATCCAAAACTTCTTCAACAGTATTGAACTCATCTTCATAATGCAAACCTAATCTTATTGACTTGGTGCAGTTTTCACTAACACAATATTTTTCTGTTCTCTTGACTGACATAACTAACTCATTTGTTTCATCAAACAGCAACAACCAAAGTTCATGACCTAATACATAACATTCATACTTTATATTTTTAGCTCTGAGTTCTCTTGTAAGCTGTTGCATTTATTTGACCCACAAATAACTTCATGTACTATGCCATTCATTGTAAATGGTGAAATCGTCATGAAGAACGACACAACTGTCTCAAAGTCTGTTCGTGATATTTTAGACTACTTGCTTCATTTGGGTCCTACAGGATTTGACCCATATACAACTCAATGTCAAGTACCATTCATAAACGACTCAGCAGAAATAAAACTCAAAACGTCAACAGTAGATGAAGCAATTGCTGACTCATTGACAAAACTTCTTGATATAATAATGAGGTTCAATACATTCAAAACAACATATGAAACCTTTAAGAAAAATTATGACGATTTCTTTAAAATTACATACATCGAGCCTTCTGCTCCTCAAACACCAGACTATGCATGCCTTAAAATAAAGGCTGCACGGACACAAGTTAGAACATTGACTTTTGACGGAGATAATATCGTTAGAGACGTTACACCTGGAGACACATTACTTACGAAAGAATACTTAAAAAGTCATATCAGTGATTTTGTGAAAGTAGAACAAAGTGGAGCAGGTAAGAGTTGGTTAGGGTGGTTGTTTACTTTATTTTCATCAGGTGTAACAACTGCATCTCTTATAACCATGCAAAGTGAGATAGATGCACTCTGGGCTTTTCTTGGTGGCATAGATAGCATGAAGTTTTATGTTGAGTTTGCTAAATTACATGGAAATACAGGAAGTTTCTTTGACGGTCTCAAAAATTTATGGGGTAAAGTAACATATAATACAAAGAAACTAACTAACTGGGCACTCAAACGTAAAAATATGTTCGACGGACTTGCTTACAACCCTCGTCTCGGAATTATTGAACCAATTAATTTACATCCTTTAATGGCAGCAAGAGATTTAGATGAAGGAGGACAAGTGGTTCAAACAATTGTTGAAAATCTACTGAATATATATCCTGAGTTTAAAGAAGTTTTAACAGCAACAAACACAACAATTCGTGAAAACTGTATAGTGTTTAACACTGAAGATAATATTTTAGACTATATGTTCGTTGTTTTAGGTCAGTTAGCTAAGACAATAAAAGAGAAAGGTATTGACTCAGTCATAACAGTTGAAGATGTAATGTTAAGAAAGACTTTTGACTCATTGTTTCAAGAACCAAAAGAAGTAGTTAGTCTTTATGAAGTTTTGAACGCAATGCTGACAAAAATAAATGAAAGTGACACTGGTAACATAAGTGAAGCAAAAGTTGTTGAACTTCTTTCACAAAAAGCAGATAAAAACCATGTTCATTATATAACTTCAGACGAACAGATTATAACGGACTACCATGGATATTTAACACGAAGTGATGAAGCGAAGACAAAAAATGTTAATGAAAGAAGATATAAATACATTCGTGCTAAAGGTTATGACATAAGCTGTACTGTACAGTATGATGTAGCTAAAGCACCAGAAGCATTTGGTTATACCGGTGAAATTTATGCCTCTACTTTCAATGTTAACGGTGTATTAGTTGAACCAAGATTTACTTTGAGAGTTAAGGCAAAAATAACGTTTGAAGATGCTATTAAAAGTAAAGCTGACAAAGATGAACTTGAAGCAATGAACAAAGTTTTGAAATCTCATAAACACAATATCTCCGATATAAATGAACTTCAAGCTACATTAAATAGTAAAGCTGACAAGAACCATACACATGAATCCTTCACTACTGTTAGAGCAGACGATGTAATATTGAACTATACCCTTGGTTCAAGTGCACCTTTAGAGAATCCGAGTACAAGCGTAAAAGATACACTAAACAATTTAGATAACAGATGTATGAACATTGAAGGTCATGCCAGAAACTTTGAAACATACGAACTACCAGCAATGTTAGATAAGAAAGCTGACAAAGAACATACACATAAATCCTTCACTACTGTTAGAGCAGACGATGTAATATTGAACTATGATTTGGGTTCAAGTGCACCTTTAGAGAATCCGAGTACAAGCGTAAAAGATACACTAAACAATTTAGATAACAATTGCAGGAATATCGAAGGTCATGCCAGAAACTTTGAAGCATATGAACTACCAGCAATGTTAGATAAGAAAGCCAACAAAACTTATGTAGATGAAAATTATGCAAAGAAGTCGGAAGTAAATGCTGCGCTTAATGGAAAAGCCGACAAGAACCATACACATGAAGAATTTCAAACAATCAAGATTAAAGAAATTAAAGCATGCATCGAAATAGTAACAAAAACAGGAAGAAACGGTGCAACTGTACAAGAACAAAGAATTTATCCTCCTACTTTTCCTAATGGTTTAATAACAAACAATATAAATATTGTAGATGGCAAAGGATTTATAAATGTTAAACATGAACTTCAAACAATGAAGACTCAGATTCTTGAAACCATATATCCTATAGGCTCTATTTATACGTCAATGAACTCAACAAATCCAGCAGTTTTAGGTTTTGGTACGTGGAACAGATTGTAGACAAATTCTTATACTGTGCTAACTCTTCAAAGCAAACAGGAGGTTCGAAGAAAATTAAAGAAGCAAACCTTCCACCGCACACTCATACAGGAACTACAAACTTTTCTGGCGACCATAGACACTCATTAAGAGACCACCCATTATACAACTCAGACTATGAAGCCGGCAATGATGTTTTATCTCCATCTTATAACAATGCAGCAAAAAAGACTTTTCGACAAACTGAACCGGGAGGAAATCATGTCCATACTTTCACAACAAATCCAACAGGCTCGGGTGAAGATTATATGCCACCATTTGTGACTATATTCGCATGGTACCACGTTCAATGAACGCGCTTGAGCCTAGAATAAAATCTTTAACTTTACATAAATGAGCTTGAAAGAAGTATTCGAACAACATCCATGGAGGTCATTTAAGAAGTTCAATGAAGCTGCAAAGAGTTGGGGATTTACTAACAGAGCTGAAGTGAAAAGGTTCTTTGACAAAAATGTTGTACATCAAACAAAAATAAACCCTTACGACTACTTTTTACCAATTTACTCCAACACTCCTGACGCATACCAATTTGACACTCTCATTCAAAGCAGAAAAGGAGGACATAAACCATTCCTCATCTTCATTAATGTTAACACTCGTAAAGCATATGCATATCCAATGAAAAATAAAGGAACTCGTGAAGTGTTAAGAGTTTTACAAAAGTTTGTAGCAGAACATAGCCCAAGTACTTTAACATCAGACCAAGACAGTGCATACCTCAGCAATGAAATCACAGATTTTCTCATTAAGCATAACATAACTCACTACACTACTGAAGACCATAACCATAACATACTCGGCATCATAAACCGCTTCATAAGAACGCTCAGAGATTTAAACCAAGAGCGAGACTTTACCGAAGAAACAATGAAACATTTTCTCGAAGTATATAATTCCTCAACACATTCTACAACAGGACATACACCAAATTCAATGACACAACAACAAGAAGAAAAGTATATACAAAAGAAACGAAGCCAAACACAAAATATCAGAAATTCAACACAATTTACCCTCATTCCTGGTACAAAAGTTCGTGTAGTTCTTGACGACAAACCGTTGACAAAGAAACGTTTAAGGTTAAGTAGAAACTATTATATCGTAGACTCTACGCAAGGTAATGGATATCTTATAAAAGCTGCTGACGACTCTATTGCGTTTTACCCTCGACATAAATTAGTCGAAAGTAGTAATGGCAAACTTGCTGAAACCATTGACGAAGCAAAGCGAGGAGTGGTTATTGAAATACTTGGCTATAACATAAACGATGACACTTATAAAGTAAGATATGAAGGAGGCGTTGAAGATGTTATACCATCTAAGAACTTGAGAGAGTCAAAGCCAACACATCTGGGACCATTAGAGCGGGAGTACTGGAAAGACAAAAATAAGCCAGAAAGAATAAGAAAATTCTTCTAAACTTTTTCATTAGATGTAAATCAGACATGAATGAGAACAGTCATGATATCATTAATGGTACCATTTATTTTTGTCATAAATTTACACCAAAAATATATTTTAGGTGAAGAGGTGAGATCTCACCCGTTTTTTCACCTCTTTTTTCACCCTCGCCGCTTAGCGGCTCAGATTGCTTTAGCTTTCTCGTGAATTTTCATGAATTTCCTTAAGATAGAAAAATAAAGTTAGTTTTATTTTTATTTATTTTTTTATTTTGTATAAAAGATATGATTTCAACAATCGGCACAACAACAATTCAAGCCACGAACGGCGGGACTCTGTCCACAACTACAGCACCAAACTCGCTAGTCATGAATCCTACGTCAATGTTGGTAGAGATGAAAAGCTTTATTCCTTCTTCATATACTTTTGAAACAGAAATCCAGAAGATAAAGCAAGAACTTTTAACAAGTAATTTAGACTGTAGTGCGAAAGATGAAACAAATGAACAGTATCTTTATGAAATGGAGGACCTCATCGACCATTTGCCTAAACTACCTGAAATTCAGCAGCAAAAACTAACTATTCCTGAATTCGACGAAATTGAAGTCAAAGCAACTGACTCAGTAGAAATTAAGAAATTCATACGTAAAGTAAATTATGAATTCCTTGGTTTTCATTGCAACCATAAAGTTATGGACAAAGATTGCGACATGGTTTATAAAAATATTTCTGACCTTTACAAATCCGAAGAATTTAAGACATACGATAACTTTGTTTCATTAGTTGCAAAATGTGTATGGCAGATAAGAGATAAAGATAGAAGAGGTAAGGTATGGAATGAACAGATAAAACCAGCAGCTTTTGAGTTAAAGAAAACCATTGACGCCTTAGTTGTTCTAGCTGGTTTTATTTCAATGTATAACGCAAAAACGATGCCGCAATGTTCAAAATGTAAAGCAGCAATAAGAAAATATAACTACTCAGTCAAAGAGATAGAAAGAATGCGAAACGACTATGCAGACTTAAAGAAAGAAGCAGAAAAGCCAGCAGAAGATAAAATGGATATGTTGACATTTCTTAATAAAAACTATCCAACAGCAGAAGATTTCCTTCTGTCTGACGTCAAGAAGAAATATAAAGAAACCTTCGGCATTGTTAAAACATTCGATGTACTAAAAGAAGAAATAGAAGCTACGAAATTGTTTAGGATTTCAAATATACATCGTACAATTCATGTAAAACGCTTGTGAAAAAAGAGGTGAAAAAACAGGTGAGATCTCACCTCTTCACCTCAACATTATTTTTATTGAATTCAGCACAAAAATAATGAATTTCATTAGTTATTTTGTATGTAAAGACAGTAATGACAAACATTGAGTTTGAAACAGTTAGAAAGATAGACAATGACACCAAAGTGGTTAGAATAGGTGATTTAAACGTAAGATACTCAAAGAAATACAACAAATATTCTTTGTCAGACATTATATCTCCATCTGGAAAGAAAACAAACGACTGGGTTAGAAATGCTTCAACTCAGAAAATTTTGACAAGAAATCCTGAGCTTATGATATCAGTAGCATTTCATGGAACAAGAGCATATCTTATAGACAAAAGTCTTATACCAATAGTTTTGTTATGGTTAGACCCAGTTGTTGGATATAACTTCATAACATATGGTTCATTCGATACGGAACGTTGCAGTGAAGGCTTACTTTACATCGTTCAGAAACCGAAGGACTTCAACACAAAAAGATATAAGATAGGAAGGACATATAATATAACTCAAAGATATGACAGTACAGTCAATAGAGTCAAGGTTGTGTTTGTTAATGATATGAGAGCTGCTGAAACAGAACTGCTTGAAGTTTTTGAGAAAATGTATGGTGCTCCCACGAAAGGTAAAGAAACGTTTGAAGTAGATGAGATAGATAAAGCTATAAAATTATTTGACGAAGTTGCTGAAAAATACATGTAAAGCGTTTATTTTTGGTCTTTTGTGAAAGTCAGAAAATAAAGTTAGTTTTATTTTTATTTATTTTTTTATTTTGTATGTAAAGACAGTAATGACAACATCAGAGAACACAACAACAGTTATAGTCCATGAAGCTATAAATGAAGAATACGAGTACATACAGTATAACAAACAGTTACGTCTCATTCGTTCAGTCAAAGACGATATGTATCAAATGCAAAGTATAATGAATGCTCTTCGTTCTACAAAGCAAGCATATCATTGGTTTGAAAACCAACAGACAAAAGAACTTTTAGAAGAATTTCCTCATATGATTGCTTCCCTCGGAAAACCGAGAGAAGAGATTCCGTACGAAAATCGCAAGAATTTGGCTCCTGGTTTGAAAGGTTATTATGTTCATAGACTTTTAGTAAATGCTGTAGCAATGTGGGCTTCACCTCGTTATGCTTGTTATATTTTCATGATGTTAGATGAACTATATAAAGCAGAACGTGGAGAGATGGAAAAGAAACTTCAAGCAAAAGATGAAGTCATTGAATCCAAAGACAAAAGCATACAGAAAAGAATACCGCGTTCGGTACCAAAAGGAAAGGAAAAGAGTTATAAGTATATGATATATACTGAAGAGTTGGAGAAAGAAGAAGATAAAGATGTGGTTATGTTGCATTTAGTCAGAAGAAACAACAAGAGCTTTTATGACTTAGCTAAAATATATAAATCTGACAGAAACTGGTTCTATCGTGAAAACTTACCGATTTCAATGACACCGAATGAGCAAATAAAGGAAATTGTCAAAAATACTCTTCCTCAAACACACTATGACATCAAAGGTTGCACAATACTTACATTCAAAGAAGACTTAACATTACTGAAGGAAAAAATAACAGAATATTTCGATAACTTCAAAGAGGAAGAATAAAAAAATCTAAGCTAATTTTATTTTTTTATAAAATTTTATCTCATATGAAAGAACATGAATTTAGAATATTCGGAACTCATGACAGAAGAAGAGAACGAACAACATGTAAAAGATTATGCAAAATTTCTGAAGACATACAAAGCATTTAAACAATATCTAAATGCTTCTAAAGATTATGCAAAATTTCTGAAGGTATATAAAGCTTATGAAAAAGCGTATGAAAAGTTTATACATTGGGGAATTGTTGTAAAATATCGATATGAAGACTAACCAAAAATATATTTTTGCTTAAATAGCTTCAGGGTCTATTTCTTCAACCATTTCACTTCCTTCGTCAATGTCAATAGAAGCTTCTTCAACCTTTGGTAAGAATTTCTGTATAACATCTTTGTTCGTTATTGTCTTCAGAGATGAAGGATAATATTTCACATTTGTTTCACCTTTCTTATATTCTTTCTGTTCGGAAAGATTTAAAGCAATACTGAAGAAGTCAATGTTAGAGTTCTTTATGACAGTATAATGAGTATCTTTGGCATTCACGAAGAAACTTTTTTGTTTCAAAACTACTGCTAACTCTTGTGAAGTATAACATTTGCGGTCAATGACGATAGCTAATGGTCTGACATACTGACCAAACTTAGATTCTTTCACAAACTTCTTGTTAAAGATAACATTAACATTTGAAGCATTATTGAACTCATTCTTGATGGCAGTAGCGAGAGCATTGTATGAAAAGAACTTGCAATCTTGCATGTGTTTCATTAAAATAAAAATATTAAATTATTTTGAAAAATAACTTAAAAAAATCTAATCTAATTTTTTCAAAAAATATTTTTTTTATTTCCTACTAAAGATGTATCGGAAGTTGTCTAAGTTAGAACACTCGAAAATAAAACAACTTCTAACAGAAGCTAACATAGAAGTAGCAAAACATTACGCAACAAACAAAAAAGCACTCGCTGACTTCATTAAAGACTATAATGGTGCAATAAGTTATGATAGAATTCATGAGTTCATAAAGCCGCAACGCGGCGAGGACGAAGTCCATGCAAGAGCATTTCATTTAAATGACGTTGCTATTGACTTATATCATAGACGTTCAGTACCTCATGAAGTAAGAAGAGAAATGTTTGACATAACAAATGCAAACGTTGGTGAAACAAGAAGAAGAGACGACACACTGAAACAACAGAGAAGAGAGATGTTTAAGAGCGCTATAGAACAAGTTCGCAAAGCTAACGATGTCATTCGTTCCATTGACGACAAACCAAAAGAATGAGAGATGGTTAAAGAAAGATGAAGAGAATAGGAAGAGGAATGTGAAGTCAGGCAATAGACTCATTGACTTTAACATCGAAGCTTTAGATGAACCAAACAGAGACTACTTACACAAACATTTCGGTAAGGTTTTCATGAGACTCTTAGAGAAGATTAAAATAAACTCACAACAAAGATGGATGGTATGTTATAAACTTGGTGGAAAGTATGAATGTTCTACGTTAAACCTCAATAATATTGGAACATTACTACATCAGCTCTTGAAGGAGAACTTTATATCAGAGATAGAAGCAAATGCTGCAGGTATTGTTGAAATGCACTATGACTTCTTCTTGACAAACATAAAGAATCTTACTGAAATAAAGATGTATGATTTAAGAGAATATGAAGGCTTAACGATGTCAGATGTAAAGAAAGGCAAACCAAAAAAGAGACCATATAGAGATGAAAGCACACTGACAAATGACCAGAAAGCCATTTTGGAAGCTCTTAAGCAAACAGGAAACCCAGCACTTATAGAAAGCTTTTGGAAAAGATAATGGTGAAAAGAGTTTATAAGAAAGAAGCGGTCAGTTCTGGAAGTATCTTTGCATATTACCTATAATCTTGAACGCTACCAAATCTTCAATGAACTGAACAAAGAACTGCAACACTTATGACAGAAGATAACTGCTTTGTTTATGCTTGCATTCAGGCTGGAGTAAATGAAGAAACTATTGACCACATGAGAGAAGTCATTCGTGTTAGAGACTTTCCTCAAAGTAAAGTACAAGAAATTTCTGACGCAACAGGTATAGCATTTAATGTTACCATTGGTTACTTCAATGACTCAAGACATAATGAAATAAAGAGATACATACCAAAAGAATGTGAAACTGTTCGAACTATTGACTTACTTCTTGTTGAAGACCACTACATGCTAAACGAAAGATTACCAATGACAACATATTTCATTCGCAACTATATAGAAATCTTGAAGGAGTGTGGTGGAATGAACATTGAGAAACAGATGAAGATTTATACAAAGAGAGAGAACAAATATGTAGTTCGTTATGATAGAACAACACCGTTATGGGATGTTATGAAAACATTGTGGGAGTGCAAATATTTCGAACCTATTTCTTATGGAGAACTTTTCACATATACGACTGACTTATATAAACAGAACCTTGCACCATTTAAAGATTTGACATATGCTCCAAAGTATTGTGTACAACTGAAGAAGAAAGCTGAGCCAAAAGAAGTAAATAAAGCTAAATGTAAGTTCATTTCTGAGCACGTTTTCTTTGCTGACTTTGAGTGTAGCACAGACGGCTTTCATAAAGCCTTTAACATTTGTTATGACAGTGAAGATGGTTCAGTGAGTGAAAGCATTTGGGGTCAGAACTGTGCAACAGAATTTTTGGAACGACTTCCTGACAAGAGTTTAATATATTTCCATAACCTCAGTTATGATATAAACTTCATCTTAAGACACATGACAGAAGTGAAAGGAACGCCCATCATTAAAGGTTCACGAACAATGCAAATAACTGGCTTATATAAAGGAAGGGCAATTATTATAAAAGACTCTTACACTGTTATAAATAAGAAGCTTAAACTATTTCCTGCTATGTTTAACTTACAAACAGGACCGAAAGAAGTATTTCCATACAACTACTACAGCAGTGTTTTGTTAGCAAATGACAACAGAACTGGTGTCATTTCTGAAGCGTGTAAGTTTGTAAAAGATATTGATACGTTCATGAAAAACATAGATTCCATCAAAGGTTGCAGAATAGATGAAAACCATTTCGACTTAGAAAAGTATAGCACATTTTATTGCAAACAAGATGTAAGAATTTTAAGAGAAGGTTTTGTTAAGTTCCGCAATGACATATTGAAAGAATTTGATTTAAACGTTTATGACTACGTTAGTATTTGTTCTATTGCTAACAAATTGTTTGAGAACAGAGTGTACTTCCCGAATGGAAATTTATATGACCTCTCAAATAAACCAAGAGAATTTATTTCACGCTGTATTCAAGGTGGAAGATGTATGCTGTCAGATAACATTAAACAAAAGAGCGAAAAGAAACTCATTGCTGACTTCGACGCTGTTTCATTATATCCATCAGCTATAGCAAGACTTTATACTTTAGAAGGTATTCCAAAGGTTATGAAGAAAGAAATGTTAAGCACAGAGTATCTCATGAGACATTTATTCGATGACGACCAAAAGGAACCCATTGGTGAAAAGTTTATGTCTGGCTTCTTTGTTCTCATTAAGATAACAGAGATTGGAATACATAGACACTTTCCTTTAATAGTTTGTGACCCTGAACTAAATCCAGAACTTAACGTTCCCAGAAGTTCAAACACTTGCTGTTTAATGTATGTTGACCATATAACATTACAAGACCTCATAAAATATCAAGGTGTCAAATGTGAAGTGTTGCAAGGATACTATTACGATGGAAACAGAGATATTAGAATAAGAGATGAAGTAAAGAAGTTGTTTGAGTTAAGGTTAAAGTATAAGAAAAAAGGAAATCCTTTGCAAGAAAATATAAAGCTCATTCTGACAGTATTTATGGCAAAACTATTCTATCTCCTATTGAGTCAAAAATAACAATAGTAAATGACAAAGATGCTATAAGATATGCCATCAGAAACTACAACCATATAGTGAAGTTCGAAGGTTTGGATGGTTCAGATAAAACTATTTTCAAGCTAACGAAAAGCATTTGCAGACACTTTAACTTCTGTCCACTTGGTGTTAACATTCTGTCTATGTCGAAGAGAATAATGTGTGAAGTATTCTGTACTGCTGAGGACTTAGGAATGGACATCTTTTATAGCGATACGGACAGTATGCATCTCTACAATGAAGATATCCCTCGTTTAGCTGAAGAGTTTGAGAAACGTTATGGAAGAGTTCTCATTGGTAAAAACCTTGGTCAATTTCATAGCGACTTTGCAGAAATCACAAAAGATAAACAAAGTTTAGCATACAAGTCAATATTTTGTGGAAAGAAGACTTACATAGACTTACTCACGAATGATTTAAATGAAGTTGCATTTCACTGCAGAATGAAAGGCGTGAAGCAAGATGTTATTGCTTTAACCGCTAATGAAATGTTTCCTGACTCTGTTCAGTGTTTCTATGATGAAGATAAAGGTTTAATGGTTCCGCAAGGAACATATGACAAAGACTCTGAGTTCAGTTTAATGAAACTTTACAAAGCACTTTATGACGGTCAAGAGATTGGATTTGACTTATGTAAGTCATGTCAACCATGCTTTGAAGAGGAGTTTAACTTCTCAATAACGACTAAAACAAGCTTTATTCGTAAGTTGAAGTTCTGAGGTCATTTATTTTTGTCAGCAATGAGGTCATTCGTGATAAAAATAAAACTAGCGGCAAGGGCGAAGCCCATGTGGTCATTTACAATACTGCGATGGTAGAGTTTAAGAGTTGTGCTTCAATGTAGAGACAGTCCTTATGGTCTGGAGGTAAGAACACTGGGCAGTTATGGTCATGAGTGGAGAACATGTCTATCCAAAACTCACGATTGAAGCCAGTTAATTTATAGTATTTAGGGTTAGGAAGTGGTGAAGTTCTTGTATGACCAATGAACTCATTTTCAACTCCCTTACTTAAGTTTGAATATAATATAGCTTGCTTTCTATCCCAAATGCCTGGAAATCTAATTTCGGAAAAATCATTTTTCCTCGGAAGCATTGCATCATAATTGAAAACATTCTTGAAATCATCACTTGGTTCAGAGATTTGAAATCTTATACGTAATGGATTTTCTTTCTTTTTAGCGACTTCATTGAATGGTGAGAATACAATGAATTGACAGTCATGTGTTCCATCTTCATTTGGTACAAACTCGTAATGAAAAGCTATTAATCTTTCTACAATTCCTTCTTCTTTCAGTTGTGCAAGAAACTCACGTAAAGGCTGTAAAGTTTGTACTTCAATGTTAAACTTCTTTTGAAAATTTTCGTAAAATGTAATTATACAGTCTTCTAACGTTGTATCGTCTTTAAAGTATTTGTATATGTGAATGTTTTGGGCGCTTAAAGACTGTTCGTCATTTTCTATCTCGACTTGAAGTATAAACTCAACCTTTCTGTAAGCACGTGTTATATACATATTTGTTATGCCAATGTACTTCTCTTCATTTATGTTCACAATCCAGTCTGTTGGAAACTTAAACGTTACTCTGTTCCCCTTTATTTTGACGTCAGGATTTTCACTACTGAACGCAACAGATAAAGGTATTTGTCTATACATTTAATTCGAATAAAAATAAACCATTTACTCTTTCTTTGCTTCAGCTTCTTTAGCTTTTGCTTCAGCTTCTTCTCTAGCTTTCTTCGCCAGCAAACGTGGGTTCTTTTGTCTTCCAGCAGCTAATGCAGCAAGTTGTTTTTCACTAAGTTTTCTCTTTGGTCTCTCTGGCTTTTGTTCTTGTTTTTGTTCCTTCAGTTCGGATAAAATTTGCTCACGAATTTCTTTCTTCAATGCTTCAACATCTATGACCCCTTGGGTCTTGTCCGTAGGGCTTGTCTGAGTCATTTGACTGCAGATAAAAAACAAAATTAAAACTTTAACCGATGTAAAATGAGCTTGTCAAAATCAGAGCGAGAGTCTATTATATTAAATGACGCAAGAGGAATACAACATCCTCTCTATTACGTAAGTCAGAGTAAAGATGGTAAAATATACGTAAGAAAAAGAAAGGTTCCATTAGCGAATGCAGAAAGCGACAACATTAAGGTGTATGGCAAGGGTGAAGTCCACGAAGCCCATATAAAACCTTCTGTTCAAACTGAAAAGTCAATAGAACCAGAAGAAAAGAAGCCAGATGTACTTTCAATAACGAACCAAGAGCTTATTGCAAAGTTCGTGAATTTCATTGAAAAACAAACCGAGTCAAAGAACCCTGACCCACCAGTGAAAGAAGTTGAGACAAAAGAGAATGTACAGTTCATTGAAAATGTCAAGAAACAACTTCCACCACGAATGCCAAGAAGAAGAGTGAGAATAATGAAGTAAATAGATATTTTTATCTGAAGTAAATACATGCAGAACGAACAGCTAAACGAATTTACTCCAGCAGAGCATATTCATCAGATTCGCTCATATTTCGATATCATAGACAATGCAGTTCAAATTGGTGACACTAATAGAAAATATTCTGACGCAAAGATTCCATCACAACCTGGAACTGCTAAAGATAACACATGGGTAACATTCAATCTCTCACCTCCTGGTGAAAATATGTTGGACCTTTACAATACATTCATTACGTATAAAATGGAAGGTCAATTTATTGTAGATAAAGAAATTGGTTCAGGTTCCAATAAAACAAACCCACCAGGATTTTGGATTGGTTTCGATGACGCTTTCTATGCAGTTGCTGGATATCAAATCCTTGCAAATGGTCGTATCGTATATTCTCAAGACAACGCAAGAGAAGAAGCATATATAACTTCAAACTCACAAACTACCGAACAAATAAAGAAAGTAGATGTTTTCTCAAAGACTCGACATGAAGATGTATGGAGTCATTCGGGAACATGCAGAACAGGACAAATTGTTAGTGGTCCAATTACAGCAGGAAAATCATTTGATTTTAAGCTTCGTTTAAGAATTCCTGTTAGAAGATTCCTTCCATTAGAAGCTATTCGATTTATTCCAGCTTTTGCAGGAAACATTCAGCTTAAAGTAAAGTTCAGTAGCGACGCCTTACAATGCACATCTATATCTGTAAATGATATCATTGCTTTCAATCCAACTCTTAAAGTTGCATTTGCTTCAGATTCAAATCCACCGACAAATAAATTTGTTCCATGGAATGAACCATTCACTATGATAACGAAGGCAGTAGAAGCTAGTGGAACAGTTACTATTACAACTGTAACCCAGCAACTATTTCGAACAAAGATGGATTTTAATGAATGTTTCATTCATCCAAAGTCATTCTCTTTAGACCCTAACATTTATACAGAACTTGTAGAACATTATACAAACGAGGCTTTATGTTTTCCTGTTAAAGTTATGGATTGGATTCCTATGGACGGTTCATTCTCAAAGAATACAGATAGTTCAAGTGCAACATTTACAGCAGCTTATACGCCTATTAATGTTAAAAGTATTTGGGCACTATTTAGAAAGAAAGACAACTATTATGTTAATTTTGAGAACCCTAAGTTTAAATATCTTCAGCTTTCCATGGGAGCTTATGGAAATATGCCTGCAGAACCTGAAAAATCATATGGACCTGTATTTTATGAAATGGTTGCGAACGCTTGCAATACAAACAATGATATGATAGGATTTAATGAAGATGTTATGAGGTCATTGGTGGATGATGGTAGTGTGGAACATAAATGGGATAGCTATGACAACACACATTTCTTATGTGGTTTTCCAACAGAAGTAGACTTTTGCTTCCAGCAAGGTCAAACATCTACTGCTCCAATAACATACAAATTGTCTGTTAAAGGACCTATTGAACTAGCAACTGAAAATGTACCAAAGCCACTTATTGGATTTATGAGGGATTGTTGCTTTGCCATTCAGGTGCGTGCTAATGGAATCCCAATAATAAGATTAGATGACTATAACTTAGCTACGGACGACAGTGAGGAATAAAGGATGAACGTTTATTTTTAAAGCTTATAAATGAGTTCTTCATCAAGCTCTCGTGAACCTTCACCATCTATGAAACAAACTTTACCAAACGATTATGGAGCACCTATTGAATATTTCTTACGAGCTGCACAATGGCAAAGAGCAGTCTCACCAAGGTTAGGTGTTCCACCAGCTCCTGTCAAAAATAGCATTTGGTCAAGTCCTTATATAAGATATGGTCTCCCACTAGGTTTGCTAGCTACAGCAGGAGCAGTTATGATGTTGAAAAGAAATAAAGCAAATGTTGTAAATAATACTGAAGTAGCTGAAGTTAAACAAACTCCAACACCTTCGCCAAAACCAACGCCTTCACAAGCAAAACCTTCAATGACTCCTGAACCTATGGAAGTACAAACTCCTGTTCAAAAGTCAACTCCTAAACCGACTCCGACATTTAAACCAGAACCTACTCCTCAAATAAATCGTAAAACTCCTGCGTTTCCTTACTGAAAAAATAACGTTATTTTTATTTAATATTAAAATTTTTATTTGATTGAAATGACAAATAAAGTCACTGAAGCAATGAAACAAAAGTTTTTGGTAGAATACATTAAATCAGGAACTATTCCAGAAGGTTTTTACATTCATACTATGAAGGATGGTAGAGTTCAGTTTAGAAAGATAAAGCAACCATTAGATAAAGAAGGAATTTTGAGAAAGATTAAACTTCATGAGGACAACATTGCTGAACTTAAGAAGAAGTTAGAAGAGTTGGAGAAAGGAAGAGAGTTATAAAGCAATGAATTCAACAGGGTGAAAAAACAGGTGAAAAAAGAGGTGAGATCTCACCACTTCACCTAAATTTATTTTTGTGCTATGTTTTCATACGTGTGATGGTGGTGATATCATTAATTTTTAAGTTTATTTTTTATTTTATTTTTATATAAATGACGAAAACTATTGAGATAACAAACTACAACGGTCATGAGTTCAAGAATTTGTTCTTCGTTCCTCGTGAAAATACATTCTATCAGATACGGGGGAGAAAGGGTAAAGTTAGTTTGAGCGTTTATGAAGGAATGAAGAATGGAAAGTTTATACAAGCATACGATACAAACGGTAAGCGTGTTTCATTAGCTTTGTCAAAACTTACTAACATTCATTTTGACAGTGACTTTGACTCTGACGATTGGAGTGACAGCAGCGATACTGAAGAATATGAACTATTGTGTGAAGCACAGCAATGGGAAGAGTTGCAATACTTTTGTAAGTGAGAACGTTTATTTTTTACAGTAGTGAAGTCGTTTGTGAAAACGTTAGTGAAGTGAAGTGGTTGGCGGCTTTATAAATATTTAAGGTTAAGTTGGCGTTGTCGTTTGTGTTGTAAAATATACGTTAACGGTTTCGTAAAGTGTCAAATTCACATATCAAGTGTAAGGATGCGCGCAGTGCCTCCGTACACATGATATGTATACTAACTATCAAAGGTCTTCAAGGTGGAGATGTTGGCAGCGATTTGTGGTCATATCTTGGTGGTGTCAAATGGCTTGCAAAATGTGTCATCTATCGCAAACACAAGTTCTATGGAGCTGGTGATGATGATGATTGAAAACAGTTTATTTTTTTTTAATCTTATTATAAGGGATAATTCTCTAAATATATGATTTTTTCTTAAGTTAGTGAATATTTTTCTTGTGTGCTTTTACTTATTTAAGTATTTAGTATTATTACTTAAAAATTTTGAACATTTATTTTATAATATTGAGATTTAAAATAAACTATTGCTCGATCGTATCTTTATTTGCTCTTTTAATAAAAAATCTAACTTACTATTGATTAGATATTGATTTAAAAAAAATAATATAATAGCATAATAAAATTTCTTTATTTCCCCGTACAAAGATATAGCCGTAACAAGACATTAACGTTTGGAAAGTAAATTTGAAAAAAAGTATTATATTATAAAAGAAGTTACGAATTTTTAGAATATTTTTGTAAAATAAGAGCAAAAAGTAGAATGCAAACTCTTCGGGTACTAAAACCTGCCATTAAATTGAGATAAATAATAGATTTTGTAAAATTTTGTTGTAATTCTTGTATCAGTCTTGCCTTGAGTATGGGTTTGAGTCTACCCTTGTTTCCATATTGCCTATTCCTGTTTTAACGCGGCTATTCCTATTCCAGTTTTTGGTGCTTTTCTATGATAACCAAATTGATTTGGTTATCATAGAAAAGAGACCATTATAATGCTTAAAATTAATTATGTTTAGGGCCGGTTTATTGGGATAAGGAAGTTTATAATACGTGAACACTTGTTTCCTCATCGAAAAGTCATAACGCATAAAGTCGATGTTTCCTTAGTACAAAAAGTGACATATGACGCTTAACTCTTTATTCCAGATAATGACCATATTTATGGGATTAAAAAGTTTAGGAAGCTTCTCCCCAATGAGGCAGATGTATTTGATCTAAAGGCAGTGAGAGAACACATCTGAAATGTACTCAAAGATTGTGAAGAAATTGAAACCAGAAACCTCAGTTTATTTATCACTTTTTAGCACTTCACTTGCGATTTTAGGATGTCTACAGAGATCCCAAAGGAGTATTTAGAACTTCACGAAAAGCGTCTTCACGAAATGCTTGAGTACCTCAACAAGGACTGGAAGCTTTCAAAGGAAGAGCCAACAATCAAATTCTACACAGCCACATACCCAGGCAGCTCATTCTCAATGGTAAAGTCCATAGTCTACGTCAATGGCAAGGCCGAAGAGACAGCAAAGATCTTAGATGATGTTTCTACAATCGATGATAAGACACCAAAAGAAATCGCCGATGGAACAAAGGAAAGATACTTATTCGGCGGTGTTGAGGGTGGTGCTCGCTACCTTTACATGGCTCTCGAATCAGGCTCTCGTTTCGTTTCAGATCGTGAATTCTTACTTCTCCGTAAGCGCTACGACCTTGAGGACAAGAAGGTTTGGCTTTGCGTCTCCATCGATAACACAGAGCTCAAGCCAGTCGGCAAGGGCAACGTCCGTGGAAACATGACTTTCCAGGCCTACATCCTCGACAAGGATCCAGCCAACAACGAGGATCGCCTTACATTCATTGTCCATGCCGATCCATGTGGCTCAATTCCTGCTATGATTTACAATTCCGTTGCAACAAATCAAGGCAACGGAGCACGCAAGATTCGTGACGATGTCATGAAGGAGAAATAAAGAATATTTATTAATTGATCAATTACAGTTTATGTTTTTACATAATTGATTACTTTTGTATAATTATAAATATTTATACCTCTGACTTTCACTGCCAGGCAATACAGCATTTTTTGGACAAAATCAGCAAGCATTATGTATATGCAGATAGATGCATTGCTAATTATTCATAATTTCTATAAGTTTGAAACAGATGTATGATTTATAATGATATACTTAAGATGATTATCTTCACAATATTATTGTTACCATAAATACAGGATTTCGTTACACTGAGTAGCACTGATTGACTCAATGATTTTGTTTTTTCAAAAAGAAAATCATTCAATATAATTTTTAATAACCAAATTAATTGGGACATTATTTATTTGATCATTTCATTTACGACTGAAATTATCGGTTTGGTTCTGAAAAAATAAAAATGCCAAAATTCTTTGTTCACTGCGATATTATTTTCATCAAAAATTTCATTCACTTTTTCAAACGAATTTTAAGGGTATAGTAAACTCAAAATTCTAGAGTTTTGAGAGTGCCAATAAACTCTAAAAAAAAAGGTAGTGGGGCTTCCAGGCACTTCGTGCCCTCTAGCCCCGAAGATGTTTAGTATAAATGAAGTTTTTATTCGGAAAATTGTTAGTCTTCTGGTGTGAATTCGGAGGACTCTTCTTCTTCCTCCATTGCTTCTGGGAAGAAGCCTTCTTCTGGGTCGAAAACATTATATAATGTGTCGCTTTTCACAAATTATATATGTTTTCATGTTTTGTCACTTTTCTGTCACTTTTCAGGAAAAAAACATTTTTATTATTATATATAAATGAATTTTACAAAACCACCGTTACCGTTCTTTGGAAATAAGAGTAAATGTAAAGATATTATATTGAGAGAACTTAAGAAACTACCGAATGGTCTAACATTTGTAGATTTGTTCGGTGGAAGTTTCTATATATCCCATTTGTGCCATACAATATTCCCAGACTCAAAGATTATATGCAATGACTTCGACAACTATATGGACCGTCTCAAACATATACCAGACACAAACAATATATTGAAAGAGTTAAAAGAAAAGATACCTATAGGTAAGATGGAACGTATACCATTAGATAAGAAAAATATTGTGAGAGAGGTTTTGAAAAAAGCAGAATATATAGACTGGGATAGTATATCTGCTAGACTATTATATAGTGGTGCTATAAGAGTTCATGACATTGAAACACTTATGTCAAAAGTTTTATATCTTAACTATACAAATGTTTTCAAAGAGGACATAGAAAAATATATTGAGGGTATAGAGTTTGTGAGATGTCGTTGGACAGAGTTGTATGAAAAATATAAAGACAAGGAAAATGTTTTCTTTATAGTGGACCCGCCGTTCTATAACACATGGGATTTTCAATACCAAGTAGACTGGACTTTGAGAGACTCTTTAGAAACTTTAGACGTTTTACATAACCATCCATGCTTTTACTTTACATCCGATAAAAGTGGTTTGGAAACCGTTATGAGATGGTTAGAGGACATACATGACTATGAGTTTAGATATGACAAGATAGAATATGAGAGAGGTCCTATAAACCGGAGAAAGTGTCATAACAAAGAAATTTTATTAGTAAGTAAATGTGGTTTGAAATAGGACTACTTGTTTTAGGTTTTTTCCATTGTGTCATTTATTTATTTGACGTGGCAGAAAAGTACAGAGAATATGAAGATGAACCAATGCCTGCAAATGTTCAGTATATGTACTCGTAAGAGATATTTTTATCTAATATTAAATGGACGCACAGAACTTAGCGAATGCACAGCAACCTGGACAACCAAACCCAGAGAATATTCCAAATGAAGTTAGAATACAAACTGCAATGGCAAACTATGGTCAAGTGCCAACAGATGTACAAATGCAAACTGCCATGTCAAATGACGCTGCGTTAGGTTTGCCACCATGGTATGCAAATATGAGATGGAAAGAGTTTTATACAAACCCTGAAGTGGGATATAAACAACTTTATGCAGATGACGCGAACACAGGAGTTGACCCAGAATATGTTTTCTACCAGAGGAGAAACAGAATGTATGAGCTCCAGTTAAAGAATGCTATGGAACTCAACAGGAAACGTAAGAGACTAGGCTGACATTAGATTTTTACATATAGTAAAATGGGTTTCTTCAGTAAGATAGGAAACTTCTTTCGAAATGTTGGAAGAGGTATATGGAATGGAATAAAAACCGTAGGAAGAGGAATTTGGAACGGTGTCAAAAATATTGGTAAAAGGGTAGGTCAGTTTGTTGGTATTATACCTAAAGACCCTGAACCAGAAGAACAAGCCCCTGTTATACAACAGCCTGAACCTGCACCACAGTCTAGTTGGCAACCAAATCCAACACCTCAACCGTATTAAAAAATTATTTTTACCGTTCGATAGTAGTTGTATATGAAACTAAGTTCTAAGTAAAACGCATGGTATAATGGAATTATTCTTTTTCTTCCATCTGTAGTAAACCATACTTGAAAGTCTGAAATACTTCCACTTGGTGGTTCGTATAACTTTGTAGGTTTTTCGTAAAAGTCATTTGCCAAGCATAAGAAAGAGTTTTGGGCGCCAGAAAATGAAGCATGAACAATAATAGCAGCTGGGTCGAAAACATTTTCATATGTTCCATTAGGGTTTTCGACTTCATAAAAGTCTGGGTGTACTGGATATGCTGCAGGCTGATTTAACATCCTCATAAATCTATACCATGCCAAGTTGTTATATTTTGTAGAAATATAAACGTTTTCTCCAAGGTCTTCTATTCTATTGATTTTAACAGTTGCATTTTTCCTGTCATAAATAATATCGAGATGGTATTCTCCTTCGTCAATGTTATACTGTTTTGCATATTCGATATAGATATCGTTTATTTTTTCTTGAAAAGCTTGAAGAGTTGTTTCTAAGTTTACAAGCAAACTAACTTGTAAAAGTTTTCCCTGTTCAAATTTCTCATACATACGTTTTTCTTTGTTATAGTATCGAACTTCAAAACCGACCGTAAATGGGAAACCATGTATGGCTTCTGAAATGAACTTCATTCTACGAAAGCCAATAGCTTTTGTGACAGATGGGTCTCTTAGCCATCTTAATGGGTAGTCAAAACGATAGCCTTCATGCTTTACGGTCTCTGTCTCAAACTTTTGACCGACATTAGTAAAAAGTTCATCTAATGGTTTAGTTGTAGCAACTCTTGAATTTTCTTTTTCTATTGGAAGCATATTTTATCTAGAATAAAAATGTCGAAAGATATTGCTTCCATGAGAGAAATACAACACAACCGACAACTCATTATGCAAGCTCTAAATAAGAACACAACAAACTTTTCAAACTATTCTAAGATATCTGAGTCATTGAAAGAAGGAAACTTAAAACTGACATTAAACCCAATGACAGATGAGTTTCTGTTTCAAGACAATAAGAACCATACTGTCTGTATAAATCCAACAAAAGGAACTTTAAACGAGAAACCTATAAATGAACTTCTTTTGAAAGCAGATGTTGACAACAAAGCTGACAAAGAATATGTAGACGATGCAATAGCAAAAGAAGAAGAAAGAGCTAACAATGCTTATGCAACAAAAGAACATACTCATCCTGAACTAGCAGACAAAACATATGTTGACAATAAAATGTCAAGTGAAGTGACAAGAGCTGAAAACGAATATTCTAAAAAGACTCATATACATTCTATATCTGAAATAACAGACTTAAACGTTAGCCTTGAAAAGAAAGCGGAGAAGGAATATGTGGCTAGTAAGTTAGAGAAGAAAGCAGATAAGGAATATGTGGATGAAAAAGATAATGAAATTATAGAAAGGGCTGAATGGTATCATGAATGGACATCGAAGATTTTAAAAACTAAAGCTGATACAGGATGGGTTTCAGGATGTTTAGACCTTAAAGCAGATAAAACTTATGTTAACGATGAGTTAGAGAAGAAAGCAAATAAGACTCATACACATACAAGTTTTACAACTGTTGCTATAGAAAGTATTGAAGGAACGGTTGACGGAACTGATGGGGATGCATTATATTGTAAACCTCCTAACTTTCCACAAGGTTTAACATCGGATGAAAACATAACGACGATGAAAAACATTAGATGTAAAGATGTTTATGTCATGAAGGATGAACATAATATTAAATTCACTGCTCAAGATTTATATGACAAGAAAGCAGACAAAACAGAGCTTCAAACATTAAAGACAGAAATACTTCAAACATTATATCCTATAGGCTCTATTTATACGTCAATGAACTCTACCAGACCAGAAACAGTTCTGGGTTTTGGAACTTGGACTCAAATAGTCGACAGGTTTTTGTATTGTGCAAACTCTTCAAAGGAAACAGGTGGAAGTAAAACGATTTCAGGTGAAAATTTACCTGCACACAGTCACTACATAGATTTAAGTACATCTCAAGCAGGTTGGCATAAGCATAGATATTGGGATTGGTCAGGAATGACAAAAGGTAAAGGATATGATGTTAAAAACAACGTTCAGTTTGCTATAAATTGTTACTGGAGTAACACTGAGGGAGGAGGAAACCATACACATCACGTTTCAGGATATACGCAAACAACGGGACAAAGTAAAGACTACATGCCACCTTACATGACAGTTTACGCATGGTATAGAAATGCTTAGTCGTCATTTTCAACTTCTTTAGCATATTCGTCAGGAGTTGTCTTATATTTGTTAGGAACTGTCTTTGAAAGTATACCACCTTGAACTTTGACAAGTTTGAAACGAGGTCTGACAATAGTAGTTTTATCTTCTGCTTGCAGTCTGTACATTTTGCCATGTTTGCCTAAAACTTCATAATATTCTCTTGTATACTTTCTTCTATTTTTACGAACACGAATGTGAGTACCTGTCGGGTTCCCATTGTTGTCATAGTCAATAGTATTTTCATATGGGTCGCGTTTAGGTATTTCTATTTTTACTTTGTCACCTTTCTGAAGTTTGAAGCCCGGCATTCTTTCTTGTTTGTCTCTTTTGACTAAATTATTAAATATATAGTCTTTCTCTAAGTCAGGGTTGTTTTTCATTTCTTCGGGGGAGTGGTTTCCCAAACCTTTTTGTTTACGGCTATTGTAAATATTTAAAACTTGTCTCATCTTTGCCATGGAGAAGTGTCTATATTTGTCGTCATATGACATTTCATTTGCTTCACCACCTTGTGGTTGGTTTAAGTCTCTTAACATTTTTATACAACCGTCAATGACACCAAGAGCAGAATGGTTTTGGTCGACAATGAAATATTGGTTTACATTTTTTGAACGCAGATAGTTTTTTACATCATCTGATTTGAAAGAACTTTCACAGTCAGATGTCAGTTTTGTTGGATGGTATTTGTCAACGAATATTGTCAAAGCTGCTAAGATATCTAAAATAGCTTTGGACTGTAATGGTATGGCTTCACAGTATCTTGTGTTTTGACTGACAAATATTAGCCAGTATGGTGGTCCATCTGTTCTAACTCTCGGAATGTTTTCCAAGATATCCATAAACCAAGCATTTGGTGTTGAACTAAAGATTTTTACCATGAGTGCTTTCTTTGTCGCTTTAGAAACATAGGGGTCCTTGTTTGGATTCGTCATTTTTTATCCTATAAGAAATGGGTTTATTTGGCGCATTAGCAGGAGTTGCATCCAGATTTTTGCCCGCAGTGGGAACAATAGCCAGAGGTGTATTTGGAGTTGGAAGGAAGATTTTGAGTACATTAGGTATACTTAAAGAGAAAGCACAACCTATTATACAAACTGTACAGAAAGGTTGGGATGTAGCACGAGATGCAACAAATCTTATTCCAAATCCTGAAACAAGAGGAAAAGTTCAAGGATGGATGGACAATGTAGGAAGACAAGCAGGAAACTATTATAACAAAGCAAATGACTACTATAACCAAGCAGGACACTATATGGACCAAGGTGAAAGATTCTTTAACAGAGGATATAACCATGCACAACAATGGGTAAACAATAACCAACCTCAACCGCCTCAAACGTGGGGAATGTAAAGTTTTTTACTGAGATGAAATGAACAATACAGCATTGAGACAAATGGGTTCAAGATGGATTTGTCGGCTTCCAGCAGTTACACCACGTGTTTGTCAAGTTCTTCCTATACCTCAGGAAGTTTTAGACCGACTTAAAAAACAACAACAACCAGTTGAAAACAAACCAAACTAAAATTTTTTACTGAGATGAAATGACCGAAGAAGTTGAAACGGTAGATTTGACACCACAAACAAAAAGTTCAGAACCATTGTCAAAACCTGTCAAAGAACTTACAGATGAAGAGAAAATTCAATAATAGAAAGTGCCAGGTCTGGAAATACAAACCCTAACTACAAAGTCACTTTTCATAAAAATGGAACGGCAAGTATCTCAAAAAAGAAACAGACTCTCACAAATAAAATATTGAAGTCTGAAGGAGCTTTCGAGACAACAGATGGAAAAGTTTACTTCACTGACCAACAGTTCATTATAGAACATCTCATTGACTTAGAGTCGAAATATTCTAAACTTTACAACAAACACAAAAAGTTGAAAGGAAAACAAAAACAAATGGCATATGATATTTATGAAGATGTTGACGACACAACTGTTCCTGCAAGTGAAGTAAAGTCAGAGGAACCGAAAAGTGACAAAAAACCGATAGAAGAAGAAAAACCAAAAACTGAAGATAAACCAAAACCAAAGTTTAGTTTGGAAACTAAACCAAGTCAACCTTCATTAGCTGGTATGGGTTGGCGTCAAAGACTTATGGCAGCAGGCGGTTATGTAAAGTAAAGAAAAAAATATTTTTTTATTTTTATAAAAATGCCCCCATATAGAATGGATAGAAAATCTGCTAGAATAAAAGCAGAGTTGCAAAGATATGGTTGGAGAGTTTCGAAGAATTTTAAATATAGGAAGGGAAGACCCATAAAAGTCTATGACAAACTGGCTGGTCTGACCTACGAAATGGATTTGGAAACAGCACGTGCCAATTATCCAAACAGACTAGAGAGGTTAGAAGAAGAACGTCTTATGGACATGCCTTTCGATGTTAGTGAACATTGCATGAAGTAAAAATTTATTTTTTAAAAAGTGACATTTTTTTTTATTTTATTTGAAATGTACGCTGAGTTTGTTGGAGAAGACCGTTGGGAAACTTGTTTGTTAGATGAGAAATATGAAATGGCATACCATTTTAAAACAATATATTTTTACATATATTAAATGCTTCAGGTTGAAAAACAAAGAACAAAAGTAGCAGATACAAAACCGTTAGACTATATCTTTACAAATGCTGGTAGGACTATTTCAGATGAAGAAATTTCATCCCGAGTATACAGGTTTGACTATCCAATTCGTTGGCTTCAAAGTCCTTCAGATGCAAAGGCAATAGGATTTAGAAGAGTTTTGTTTTCAAATAGAACTAACGCATTTATGTTCGCAGTATATTTTCATGGGCAGTATAAAGGTTCTGGTGGTCTAATAGACAAATTTGACGAAATGAGAATCTTTACAGTTCGTTCAGACGAAAGTCTTGAGAAAACTCTAAATGACTTTCAAACTCAAATGAACAAATATTATTGGGAATTTCAAGAAAAATACGACTCTTTACTAAATGGAACATACTATCTGAAACTAGAATATGACAAGATGAACTCCACCGTTTCATTTCAAAAGATTGAAATTAACCCTCCAAGAGATACAGAGTTTTTATTTTGGAAAGTAGACAAACGTTCTGGGCACAATTTCTTCGGTTACTAAACCAGAACGAACCATTACACCAGATGGTCCATTTCAATTTATACTTCCACCAGCAGATTTGACAGTTTATAGAAACGTGTTTGACCCTCAAAATGTTATGTGTCATGCAAGTTTCAGTTCAAGCAACAATAGTTTTCTATGTATTGGTAAGGACTTTTATGACTTTGCTTCTAAATTCTACGAACCACTAGTAACAGTTTCTCTGACTTTCAAGTTTGGTTCACAACAAATGGTGTGCAACATATTATTCATTGTACTATGACTTTTATCTCGAATGTCTTTCATATATAACTACGGAAAAGTGCTGAAAAAGTATTGAAAAATAATGTTTATGTTAGCATGTTAGATCTAACACGTTTTCTAACCACTTTTCTAACATCGTAGAAAACTCATGAAAACAATTTATTTTTGACACTTTCACAAAAAACATAAAAAAGTGAAGTTAAACGTTAAGGTTTACTGAACTGGTTGGATGTCGCCTTCACAGGTTATGTAGAACGGCTGACCCGAGAAGCGAAGGAGAGACTGAATTGCCAATTTCATATGGGGTAGGGGGTTCTCCTTGTTTGGTATTTTTATCCAAGGACGTTTGTTTAGGAACTTAACAAGAGCTTCTCTTTTGGCGTCCTTTATGTCGTCGAAAGGAGTGTTTTCTGGTATTTGAATTGGAATTCCGGTCGAAGTCTCGAGATTCAAGACAGCCCTTCCAGAAATAGTGGTGAACTTGACCTTGGGCTTCATGACCTTGCGCAAGTAGTCTTTTACGCAGTCGTTAAGTTCAATTAGGTGAATTGCCTCGTCAAATCCTTCTGGCATTCCGAGTCCTTCCATCCGACAGGAAAATATTTTCCCGACAACTGGAAAAAATTTTCCGGACAAAGGGAAAAATTTTTCCTTCCGACAGGAAGAACTCTTCCAGTTGTCCGTCCGTAAACCATTCAAATTTTCGAAAATTGAGAACTTTTTGGTCGAACTTCAGAAAAAGTTTTTCCATCCGACAGGAAAAAATTTTCCGGACAAAGGGAAAAAAATTTCCTTCCGACAGGAAAAGTTCTTCCTTCCGACAGGAAAAGTTCTTCCTTCCGACAGGACACAAACGAATGTCCCACGTCCCACCAACCCAGTCCATTCCCAAACCAGAGGAACCTAAAGAACCACAACAGTCTCCTCAGCAACCTCAGTTCCAGCAAGTACCTCCGAATTTCTACCAATTTCCACCTCAAGGTTACTACCCACCACAAGGCTTCCCGAACTACCCTCCTCTGCCTATGCCTTACTTCCCCAACCCTTGGATGTTCCAGCAAGCTCCACCCCAGCAATTCCAATCTCAGTCCAAATTGAAGAGAGACCAAGAGTTCGAAGAAGGTCTGAACCGTTTACGCAAAGAGTATGCCCCAGCTCCAATTGAGAGAAAGTTGTTCCCGGACCAAAAATATAATTTATGTTAACATGTTAGATCTAACACGTTTTCTAACCTCGTGAATTTTCATGAATTTCCTTAAGATAGAAAAAATAAAGTTAGTTTTATTTTTTGTATTTTGTATTTTTTTGTATGTAAAGATATGATTTCAGGGATTTTTTTGACGAAGTGTCAATCTTCACTTCGTCAAAAAATAACAGTTATCTAATGAAAAAGTGTCATTTTTTTCATTTGACGAGAATGTCGGGTAGATGGTTAGATCTAACCTCATTTCTAACCTCATTTCTACCCTCTTGAATTTGTCAAGACTTCTTCGTAAATGTTTTGTCAAGACTTCTTCGTAAATGTTTTGTCAAGACTTCTTCGTAAATGTTTTGTCAAGACTTCATCGTAATGAGTGTAAAGGACCCAAAAATAAAGTTTATGTTAGAATGTTAGATCTAACACGTTTTCTAACACGTTTTCTAACCTCATGAATTTTCATGAATTTCCTTAAGATAGAAAAAATAAAGTTAGTTTTATTTTTTTATTTTGTATAAAAGATATGATTTCAGGGATTTTTTTGACGAAGTGTCAATCTTCACTTCGTCAAAAAATAACAGTTATCTAATGAAAAAGTGTCATTTTTTGTATTTTTTTGTATAAAAGATATGATTTCAGGTATTTTTTTGACGAAGTGTCAATCTTCACTTCGTCAAAAAATAACAGTTATCTAATGAAAAAGTGTCATTTTTTTCATTTTTTTGTATTTGACGAGAATGTCGGGTAGATGGTTAGATCTAACACGTTTTCTAACCACTTTTCTAACATGGTCTAAAACTCTCGAAAATCATGAAATTTACACCAAAAATAAAGTTTATGTTAGAATGTTAGATCTAACACGTTTTCTAACACGTTTTCTAACATGGTCTAAAACTCTCGAAAATCATGAAATTTACACCAAAAATAAAGTTTATGTTAGAATGTTAGATCTAACACGTTTTCTTACACGTTTTCTAACACGTTTTCTACCCTCTTGAATTTTCATGAATTTTCCCGAAATAAAAAATAAAGTTAGTTTTATTTTTTTTTATTTTTTTATTTTGTATAAAAGATATGATTTCAACAATCGGCACAACAACAATTCAAACAATAGCACCAAACTCGTTAGTCATGAATCCAACATCTATGTTAGTAGAAATGAAAAGCTTCATTCCTTCTTCATATACTTTTGAAACAGAAATCCAGAAGATAAAGCAAGAACTGTTAACAAGTAATTTAGACTGTAGTGCGAAAGATGAAACAAATGAACAGTATCTTTATGAAATGCAGGACCTCATCGACCATTTGCCTAAACTACCTGAAATCCAACAACAAAAACTCACTATTCCTGAATTCGATGAAATAGAAGTGAAACCAACTGACTCAGTAGAAATAAAGAAGTTCATACGAAAGGTAAACTATGAGTTTCTAGGATTTCATTGCAACCATAAGGTTATGGACAAAGATTGCGACATGGTATATAAGAATGTTTCTGACATATATAAATCTGAAGAATTTAAGACCTACGACAACTTTGTTTCGTTAGTTGCTGAATGTGTATGGCAGATAAGAGATAAAGATAGAAGAGGCAAAGTATGGAACAAACAAATAAGACCCGCTATGTTTGAGATGAAGAGAGCAATTGACGCTTTAGTTGTTTTAGCTGGTTTTATTTCAATGTATAACGCAAAAATGAACCCGCAATGTTCTAAATGTAAAGCAGCAATGAGGAGATATAACTACTCCGTCAAAGAGATAGAACGTATGAGAAACGACTATGCAGACTTAAAGAAAGAAGCAGAAAAGCCGGTAGAAAATAAAATGGACATGTTAGAATTTCTGAACAAAAACTATCCAACAGCAGAAGATTTCCTTCTATCTGACGTCAAGAAGAAATATAAAGAAACCTTCGGTATCGTTAAAACATTCGATGTACTAAAAGAAGAAATAGAGGCTACAAAACTGTTTAAAGTCATGAACCATCGCAACATATACCATGTAAAACGCTTGTAAATAGTTATGTTAGAAAAGAGGTTAGAAAACGTGTTAGATCTAACATGCTAACATAAAACGTTATTTTTTCTATCTTAAGGAAATTCACGAAATTTCATGAGTTTTGTGTGTTTTAGACCATGTTAGAAAAGAGGTTAGAAAACGTGTTAGATCTAACATGCTAACATAAACGTTATTTTTTCTATCTTAAGGAAATTCACGAAATTTCATGAGTTTTGTGTGTTTTAGACCATGTTAGAAAAGAGGTTAGAAAACGTGTTAGATCTCACCTCTTCACCTAAAATATATTTTTGGTCATTTACAATGAAGTCTTGACAAAACATTTAAGTTCGATGAAGTCTTGAAAATTCATGAGTTTTGTGTGTTTTAGACCATGTTAGAAAAGAGGTTAGAAAACGTGTTAGATCTAACATGCTAACATAAAATATATTTTTGGTCATTTACAATGAAGTCTTGACAAAAACTATCCAACAGCAGAAGATTTCCTTCTATCTGACGTCAAGAAGAAGTATAAAGAAACTTTCGGCATTGTTAAAACATTCGATGTACTAAAAGAAGAAATAGAAGCTACAAAACTGTTTAGAGTCTCACGAATTCATAACGTTTACCATGTAAAACGGTTGTGAAAAAAAGAGGTGAGAAAACAGGTGAGATCTCACCTCTTCACCTAAAATATATTTTTGCTGAATTCAGCACAAAATTCATGAGTTTTGTGTGTTTTAGACCATGTTAGAAAACGGGTGAGAAAACGTGTTAGATCTAACATGCTAACATAAACTTTATTTTTGCTGAATTCAGCACAAAATTCATGAGTTTTGTGTGTTTTAGACCATGTTAGAAAACGGGTGAGAAAACGTGTTAGATCTAACATGTTAACATAAACTTTATTTTTGCTGAAAAATGACCAAATTTCATGAATTTCCTCATATGCTTGCTTCCCTCGGAAAACCGAGAGAAGAGATTCCGTACGAAAATCATGAATTTCCTTAAGATAGAAAAAATAACGCTAATTTTTTATAAAATATTTTTTTATTTTGTATGTAAAGACAGATATGTCAACAACAGAGAACACAACAACAGTTATAGTCCATGAAGCTATAAATGAAGAATACGAGTACATACAGTTTAACAAACAACTCCGTCTCATTCGTTCGGTCAAAGACGATATGTACCAGATGCAAAGCATTTTGACAGCATGTTTTGCTCCAGATACCAAACATACAGACGATTGGTTCAAAAACCAAAGCACACAAGAACTTTTGAGCGAAGCACAGCGAGACCGACTTTTTTCTGGGTCGCCTAAAACTCATGAAAATCGTAAAAATTTGCCAAATGGTTTGAGAGGATATTATGTACATAGACTTCTTGTAAATGCTGTTGCAATGTGGGCTTCGCCTCGTTATGCTTGGAATATTTACAGACTTCTTGACGAAATTCATAGAC